ATGCTCTGATGAGGTACCTAGAAATGCCACAGTTCAGAGACAGAAAGTACCAACAGTAGTCATCATGGACCAGGGAGAGAGCTATCCTTTCATGGGTAAATGAAGATGCTCTGGAGACAGACGCTGGTGATGGGTGCACAACAATGACAATGTGGTACTGCCATGTTGTGCCCTTGAAATGATTATTATAACAAACTCATCTTACACAAAGATTATCACAAAACAAACCCATAAATATTCAACAGAAATCTCCAGAAACTCCCACTTAATTCACATACTGCTGATTATGCTATCTGACTAGGTATAAAGTAAATCTTAATATAGTTACAGACTTAAAATCAGGAGTTTCGTCTCTTAGGGTATCTTTATTAACCAGCATTTAAAGCTCGACCCATGAAATGAACACTGTGAAGTATCACAGAACAAGCTTCCCTAGGAACTACACCCAATACCCATTCTCTTGGTCTAATTTTCCTGCTACTGACCTTCCCTGTATCTTGTTCACATAACTGTATAAACTGTATAACTATCATCTTTTAGCCAATGCATTTAGAACTTAAATAACCATAGAAATGGAGTGATGGTACAAAAGACTCAAATGCTATACTTGTGTTTCATAGGTTTTTAGTATAAACAAACAGAATGGGAGGAGGGAGATACTGTCTAAGCATTCTAAGAAACGCATGTTTGCTTCTAGGTTTAAGATAATACACAAACTGAAAAAATGAAAAGGTTATACATATTGTGTCAGTCTGAGAACAATATCTCAATCCACATCTAATCAGAAAAGTTTTCAAGTCACCTGAATGTTCCCAAATCCTAACAGCATGAGGTTAGATGTCAGATATAAAGCTAAAGCCAGTACCACATGATGACAAGTAAAAAACCCCAAATTTTAAAGTGATTAAATAAAAATGAACAATTGGGGCAGGGAAATAAACTTCAGGTCAGCTGCAAGCATGGAGGAATCTAGGCATACAAAATAGCACAAAGTCAACAATATGGCACCGACATTTCAGAGTAATCTGATACTGTAACTGAGAAATGCAAACTAATGTTAAGAATTAGGCTAAATTAATATTTGAAGTTCTCATATACGAAGGGCCATGGTCCTCCTTATCTTGCTTCAAGCTCTAAAATATAGCAGGCAATTAATAACAAATTTAATGAAGGTTCCTAAACAAGAGTGTGGAGCCACCAAGTGCTCAGGAGCTCCGCAGACAGACGCAAGGGTGACCTAAAGGGGCTTTAATGTCTATATGACATAAAGGTAACATGTCAGTGCTTCAGGTGGTGTGTACATAAGCATAAAGGAAGCACTCAATCCTTGGGTGATGTGTGTAAGAAGGAAAATGTTATGCTTAAGGCAGTATGTACAAGCTTGAGTCAGAATACTTGATTCGCAGAGCTGAAGGGGTCAAAGGAGACAGGGCAAGAGTTACGGCCTTTTCCATAAGGAAATGGAGGTCTTAAATTCCTGAAAGAAGATAAGTCTCCCAAAGAAAAACAGGAGTTCAAAGTATTTAACTGGAAAGCCAAGGTTGAGAAAACAAGCATGCCCATGTTTTGGCTGATCTATGGTATAGAAGCAGGAACGTGACCGATGGTCTGTTTACTTATTTGGCATGGGGAGCTGAGAGGGTGGCATTTAGCCTAGGCTGGCTTTGAACTCACTGTGTATCCAAGGATGACTCTGAATTCTTGATTCTCCTGCCTCCACCTCCTGAATTCTGAGATCACAGGTATGGAATCCAACTGGCTTTTGGACATTTTTATGATGTAACCAAAACACACTGAATCTTCTCAACTCCCAAAATGTGTAAGGAGAACATTGCTCTACATGCCGAACCACATTTGCCTCACTGGTCAGCTAGTATATCAATGCAAATTTAATATACACTTATAATTTAGTTCAAGTTTTAACTTTTTTTTAAAAAAAAGATGAGTTTTCATTGGATACACATACTTCTGGATTTAATGTTTATCCTTTTGTTTCTTAAAGCATCCCAAATCTGAAAGATGATTAAAATTGGGGAAAAAAAAACCAAAATGGGAATTATTCCAAACCATAAGAGTAATAACAATCCACTTTTCTATACATAAAACTCTAACAGTATAAAGCTTAAAAGTAGTAACTGCAGTTAAAAAAAACTCTAGAAAAACAGTAAACATTTATAAAAATGTCTTTGCTTTTCAAGATCAGAGAAATCACTACCTACTCTTAAAGACAGAAAAATAATTCTTGGCTTTAAAGTGTTCAGAGGAGAGCTGTTACCCTTTTATTTACTTAAAAATATTTGTTAGGTGTTAGTGAATAACTATCTAAAAGGCAAGTCTCCATTTACAATGGGCTGCTGGGATACAGCTTTGGTAAGACTAAAGGTACTTAGCACAGAATGTAAAGAATACCAGAACTTTAATAGCAAGAGGAATCATCAAGAGTGAAGCCCTATCTTCCTCAGTAAAGAGAAAATGGACAGTATAAGTAAAGCAATGCCTGGAAATCCCGAATTACTTTCAGATGTCAAGAGTCTACAAGTCTTAAAGATTAAGGGGGGAATAGAGGGGGATAAACAGTAAGTCCATGAGGATTCAAACTTTTTTTTGGTAAATCATATATAGTTCATGGCTCAAATTATAATTTCAAGAAATATGAGAAAACCATGTTAAATAACAACAGTGGACCTCAAATGCATGAGCTTTTGTCACTTTATTGTTAACCAATGAATATTATCCAAAATTAGAGATTTACTTGTAATTTACTTGTACAACATGAAATTATGCTAATGGGAAATTATCAAATACTTATCTCATTAGTGTGTTTTTACATTGCTATATGAACATGTGCTCTCAACTGCTAAGGATAAACGTTATAATTGGTTTAATCTCTATGAAAACCCATATTGCAAATGGCTGTTCCTGTTTAGAAAAATCCATATAGCTTTAAAAATGGATTAAAACCATTTAAATCCTAATCTACAAATAGACTATTAACAGCAAATATAACTGGTAGCCTCTCAACACTGTAACAACTGGTGTAACAATGATAACGTACACATAAAAATGGGGAAATCAGTGAAAATTCAGGGGAAGTCAATTCTTTTAGCAATAAGGACTATTGCTCTAGCGCTTTTGGAAAGTGAATGCTCATGTTTCAAAGTAGAGCAGTAAGGCCTACCATCTCTCCCTCTCATGTATGGAAAGCAGAAACATTCCCTCACAAATAATCTGAAGCATGTGCACAACCACTGTACAACAGTCACTTCAGGGTTAACCAGTTGTCTTTTGTCCTACAGAGTTCAAAAAATATATTAAGCAAGGCCTTTCCTTTTCATAATGTCTGTCCAAATTATTCCTTTTAAAGTCAGCAAAATCAAAAAACAGCACGAGATATTTTCAGACACAAGTTGAATCTACTGTGTATGAAAACTGCTTAATAAAATGGCAATTGTAATAGATAAATGTAAGAGTTTGAGTGCATAATACCAAATGGAACGTAGCTGAACCACACAGAGAAAACAAGGCTTTTTCTGTATCTTCAAACTCAGGTGCTTCATGATCAAAGAACATAAAAGTATCTTTCTATCTGGGAAGATTCTTCAGTAAGACGTAATTCAAATCAGATTTGTTCTTAGAGACTACAAACAAAATAAGCAGTGATTTAGGAACCAAATACACTAAATGGTGTACCTATTCATCAAGAATAAAGGATGAGAATCCTTCACATGCTGCAAAGGCAGGGTCTCTCTCCCAAAGGGCCACTCCACTTCCTCAGACATATAACACCCCTCAGGAAACAGCATACCAGTGAGAACATACAATCTGGACACATATCAGAGTCCCACAATTCAACAGAAAGGCAGTTAAAACATTAGCACTGGAATCTCCAAAGTATATTCAATGATAGACACGACTGAGACTGTCTATGGATAACAGACATACAGTGTGTGTGAACAGTCACCACAGGTGTAGAGTGAGGTAGTATTACTTTTCTTAGAACTGATACTTTCATGTGCTGCCCTTGCAGAAAGGTCCAGGTTTGTTTTTTTCAACAATTAAAATCAGTTATCATCAGCAGTATCTTCTATTATACACTGTGTTTCTAAATCAACGTTAAGAATAAACACTGAATTTTTTCAGAAGCCATTTACTGGCAGGCAGTGCTTCATAAATAAATTCTCCTACAACTGCCGCCTGCTGGCTCCATCTCCAAAGTGGCAGGCAAGGAAAGCCACCAAAGAATTATAGGACATGATACACCAATCACTTGAGCTGGCAATGATGACTCTACTTAAGTAAATGAAAAGCAAACACCCAATAATGTAATTAAGGGATTTCTGTAGTAATTAACCACATCTGCATACTGTGCTGCTCAGTCAGTGTTCTACCTGTCTCATGATGCAGTAGTCGCCTACACAACGATCACTGTCTCATCTACCCCATGTCTGTTTACCTCAATACCTCATTTTACACACCTCCAGTAAGTGATATATCTGTATGACACCAGAATCATGGCTCTGGCATGACAGAGCATGAGAAGGCCACACTGAAAAAAATCTGAGAGTGAACATGGAAATGTATGAAGGCCAAACATGGAAAGGGCAAAGAAAACTGAGTTCATTAACTAAGCATGCATTGAGATGTCCACCATTTTCCTAAGATGTACACAGTGCTCAAAGCACACATACACATTTATCAGACATGGTCATTAGTGCTAACATTCAACTAAAAAAAAATGAAACAGAAACAAAACAATGAAAATGTACAAAGAGGTGACAGAATAGTATTATCCATTCCCTGGCCAAAAGAAAAATGACCATACATGACATCACACTGCCTTAATGCTGAAGAGCACCCTTCCGAATTCTGCTAGTGAGCACAGTCAACTGGTACGAGTGCTTTGGCAAGGTGGGATGCATTCCATCGCATCTGAAAAGGCCTGCTTTTCTCTGGTGGTGGTTCAGCTTATGAAGGACATGTATCACAAGAACAGCTCTCACATTGCTTCAAACTCATCGATGCGCTGCTTTGTATTGCCTTGTCGAATCTGCCGGAGAGTCTTGTACTTATCACGGCCTGCTTTGACATTCTCAGCATGAAGGACATCATTCTGGGTTTTCTTGGTTTCATCTCTGGCTTGGGCTAATTCTGAACTTAATGCCTGCATTGAAAATAGTATTACTATTACATAAAATTTTAAAAAGTATGAGAATAGTTAAAAGATGCAAAGATACATGCACACCAAACCTGGCACTTTAATAATCTTTCCACTGTGGAGTGGTTTTCTGTGTGGCATGCAAGCTTTTTTTTCCTTCACACGCATTGATGTTTTGCCTGCAAGTATATCTATGTGGAGGTGTTAGGTTCCCTGGAACTGGAGTTACAGACAACTGTGAGTTGCTGTGTGGGTGCTGGGAATTGAACCCAGGTCCTCTAGAAGAGCAAATCACTTAGCTATCTCTCCAGCCCCATAAGCTTCATATTTTTAGTAATTGTGATGGGAAGGAATGCCAAAGGTCTTTCTTTTTTTTAGTCATTAGCCATATTTTATACATTCTTAATCTAATACATGAAATACTAATCAAGTTCAAGGCAGTCACTTTAATGAAAGGTTAATATTAAAAAACAAAGTGGACATTTTCTCTCTAGAAACCTTAATACAGCTATTATAATTATCACTTTTTCTTCATTAAGATTTCACCAACTGCAAAAATTAGATAAATTTTTAAACTGTTGAGAATGCTGAAATTTCCTCTTCTGACCTAATAATGTAGTATACTTGTTTCCTGAAGTTTCTTGTCCCACTGCCCTTCACCCCAAATAAGCACACGGATGCTTTATTAGTTATAGAACTGTTGGCAGATAGCTAGGACTTCTTATTGGCTAGCTCTGTCTTAATTAATAACCCATTTCTATAAATCTATGTATTTCCACATGGTCTTGGGTTACAGGAGAACACCGGGACCTGTTACTCCTTTGGCAGCTATATGGTGTCTCCTTTGGTGACTCTCTGCCTACCTTTCCCAGAATTCTCGTCTCCTAGTCCCGCCTATTGGTCAAACTGTTTTATTCATCAACCAGCAAGAGAAACATACATGCAGAAGGACACCCCCATCAGCTGGCCTGCATTAAGAGTTGGACACTTAGGAAGCTGATTTCGATGGAGACTGCAAGAGTATTAAGTGCATACACAGCTGCATCGGTACCTGGAGCTGCTTCTTCACACGTTCGTTTTTCTGTGTTTCCGTCACCCGCTCCTCCTCACTTCTGTGGTTCATCACGCCCTCACTAGACAACTCGGCACTGGCCTCAGCACTGTTCTCGTCATGCTCATCGTGCTCATTTTCTGTGGGAGGAACAACTGGAGGAGGGGGAGGGGGAGGGGGTGCAGACATCACGGTTTTTAACTCTTCTTTGGTCTTTTCCAAGTCTTCCTGAGCTGCAAAAGCCTGAACAATGAAAATAAGTTTGTGAAACTGGCAATGAAAAGAATGTATACTGACTCTAACAAAAACTACATTTCAAAGTAATGATAATACGTCCTTTTTAATAAAAGCTCCATTTTTATGGGATTCCAGCAGGTAGGATGCATAATTTTTTTTTAAATATCTCCTAACTAAAAATGTTAGTACAGCTTTATTATTTTTTGCTGTAACTGTTGTGTAAATGTTTGGTGGGAAACAGCTTAAATCTGTACAACGCTGAGAAATGTCACAATAGATTATATCTGAGGCACAAGCAGAAAAATAACAAGTCAATGGAGGAATCAGAGTGTCATTCTCTAATACAGTGGTCAATTAAAATCACTAACCTAACCATGGGTTAACTAGATAAGTCATCTCACATGATACAACAAGAACTATCCCAATCACTGATGATTTGGGGGACAGTCCCTCCTGGATTGCCTAGAAAATTTTCACTTTCAAGTCTTGTCCTATGTCCTATTAAAAATACTCTATTTCACTCTCAAAGGGCTTCTAAACTATGGAGGTCTCCCATAAGAATTCCTTATGCTTTCAGAGCCACATATCAATCTACAGGAAATACGACAGAAAGATAGAGTAGATGACACAATGAGGAAGCAATTAGACAGATCATGAGGAAGGACATTCTACAGGCCCCTCAGCAAATCAGTATGAGCAGAGGAGGTCTATCTGTGGTAACATTTAAAGCAGACACAGAATCCAAATGCCTGCTTTTCACATTGCAGCGCCAACTACCTACAAACTACCAAACTTACTGCTTAAATTTTGGAATCTAAGTATAATCTAACATTAGATGAGATGATAATTTAATAAAGTAGAATTATATAAACAAAGATTTCATTTCAAATATACATAACTGTATACATAAACATATGAAATAGGAGAGGATATACATTAATGCTTTAAAATCATGTCCTAGTTTGCAGGACTGTAATTTCATTTTTAAATTAATTTTCATTGATTTGTGTGCATTTTCAAATTGCTCACAGAACTTGTAGCTATATTTTAAAATCTGTAAAGTTCATAAATCCTCTCTAAATAGGGCCTATAAAATTCTCGTGACAAAAGAAGTATAACAGACTGACTAACCCCCCCCCCACACACGTAATATGTCAAAAATGTTCCAATAAAAATTGAACTGCTTCAGCTGGGCTGTCCCAGCACTAGGAAGGCTGAGGGAGGTAGATCTCTGTGAGTTTGAAGCCAATCTGGTGTGAGTTCCAGCCAGGGCTGTTACACAGAGAAACCCTGTCTTGAAAAAAAACAAAACCAACTAAACAACCAACCAACCAAACAGTTGAACTGCCTCAAAGAAATTTAAGAGCAGGAATAAAAACAGTTTATACAGTAAGTGTATTTTATTGTAGAAAACTCATCACATATTTCATGTACCTTCCTTGGGTATAAAAATTATAAGTGCACTTATAAGTTCATGTTATTGAATTAAACTCATTATCTTTTCTGTGCCATCCTTCCAATTACAAGCTTGATCTATGCACTTGTGAATTCTCATTATTAGTCTTAGCAGTATCCACTGCTCCCTTAAGATTTAGAAGCAGTTAAAGGCTGCTGGGGAAAGGAGCCCAGGAGACCCACTGCTCACTAAAGAGCAGGAGTGAATGGTTATTGAGATACACCTTCCTCAGTGGTGTAGCCACTGGCAAGCTGTCCATGTTCCTGTAAATCAGACACCAAGCTCTGTAACCCTAACAGATTCACTAGTCCATTAAACAGAAAACAATCCAGGAAAGGAGAAGGGGAGATGCTAAGTGGGAAGAGCAAGGGGACCAGTGGGAATAGCAGCAGGACTAGAGAGAGTAACTGCGTGAACATGGTCAAACTACAGTATATGCATGCATGAGAATGCCATAATGACCATGTATAATTAAAGCCTGCCAATAAACTCAAAAAGGAAAAAGAAGTCTTATTAGTAGCAAAACTACAACCCCTAACTCAAGGTCACCTCCTGTTATTGGTTGTTATGTCTATTTCGTCTACCATGGAGTGTTTAATTCTTTCCATTCTTTTCATTTTCATCACATTCTTTAGGCACTTAGAAGCATCTGATATCCCAATCCATACTTTACAATGGGAGGGCTTGGGGCTCTTTTTGTTTACTTTTTTTTTATAAAATCTTCCTCGATTGTATTAACTGTGTTCTGACGTCTTCAGAATCTGGTATCTACCTACACAGTCCACCAATCTGCATCAGTAGACATTTGTCTGAAGCTCCAATAACTCAATTTTCTATTATCTAACTGTCACCTTTATCTTTTAACCTTTTTTTTTGTTGTTTTTTTTGAGACAGAGTTTCTCTGTATTGTCTGGAACTCACAGAGACCCGCTGGCCTCTGCCTCCCAAGTGCTGGATTAAAGGCTTGCGCCACCAACGCCCGGCATGTTTTAACTTTTTTAAGTCCCACTGGATCATTGGCTACCCCTACTTTCTCTACTCACTCAATTCTTTCTGTCTAGAACACTCAACAATGCACTTCAGCCCTACCCAACTTAAATGTGTACTGCCTTCACAGACACCTGTCTGGTTCCCCTAGGTGATCACCTCTCATGCATTTCCCAGAGACAGAGCATGTACCACTCTCACATCACCTCTATAAAGTAAGCAAGTGCTCTGCCGGCTCACTAACAGAGCACCTATTCAGTAGAAGCCAGCATACAACAAAACAGTAATTACTTTGTGTTGCCATTCAGTAGCTTCCTCTTCCTTTTTCTTCTTGGCTTCCTCTAAAAGTGCAATCTTGGCAGTGAATTCAGCAAGTTCTGCTGCCTAGAATTAAAATATTTATATATTATAAATACTAGAGACAATAATATTTGGGGGGGTTCGAAACAGGGTTTTTCTCTATGTAGCTTTGGAGCCTATCCTGGCACTTGTAGACTAGGCTGGCTGGCCTCAAACTCACAGAGATCCGCCTGCCTCTGTCTCCTGAGTGCTGGGATTAAAGGCATGTACCACCAATGCCTGACTGAAACAATATTTTTAGCATCCGTTTAATGTTCAGTTGAAACATTTTCAGGTACAGCTTGGGCTGTTTTAACTTTCCCTTAGTGTTCCATTTTAAAAAGGCAGTATTTGCTGAATATCTTAACAAGCTTGTTTGAATAGATACTTGAGATAATGAGATAATACAAAGCAAAGTTAAAAAACTTTTATTCTACAGAGGAGCAGTTACTTATGTTTCTGTAGTAAGGGCGTAAAATGTGTAAGAGCTTATTTTAAGAGTTTATCATTAAACAAAAAATTACATAATGTTCTGTAATTGTAAAGGTACTTTGTTAACAGTCTCATCTGTGCTATTTTCAAAGAGAAAAAAAACTTAGAGGCTCGAAAAGGAAAGGACAGATGTGATATCACACCCCTGGAATTCACACGCTCTTGGTGCTCAGGAAGTGGGAGGAGATGATCAAAGGTGCAAAGTCAGCCTGAGTTAATAACAAGACTTTGTCTACAAACAACAAAACTCAAAAACATGCAGTAAATGAACATCTGAATTGATAAATATATTTAGAATCTTCTGTGCCATGCATACTCATTTGGAAGTACATTAAACAAACAAAATGTCAACCAATAATGGCTTATGTCATCCAGAAACTAAACATGCTATGTCAATTTATAAAGTGCAAGATGCCACATGTCCTATTGCAAGGCCAGTCCAAAGTCACAATCAGCTGCCTCAACCTGTGAGTTACGACCACATTTGGAGGGGGGATAGGATGACCCTTTCACATGGGTCGCCTAAAACCATCAGAAAATAGATATTTACATTATGATTCATAACACTAGCAAAATTATAGCTATAGCAACAAAAATAATTTTATGGTAATAGGTTACCACAACACGAGGAACTGTATTAAAGGGTCACAGCATTAAAACGGTTGAGAAGCAGTGGTCTAAGTGAATGAAAATCCTTTTGCTGGCCACTGGCTCCACTTAAAAGCAAATCATAACCAGATTATATGAAAGAAAATCTATTTTCAATTTTTAAAAAGGAAATATATGACCCAAAACACATGGACTCCTTTATCCTGTTTGGTTTTTAATTTCTTCAGGCAGAAAAAAATGTTCAGTTTCTGCCATTTGTTACTATCCCTTTGGCATGCTTTTTTGAAGACGCCATTTATTTGGTGAAGTGTTGCTCTTGCTCACAATACACACAGTATGGCTGACAGAACAGAGTGTAATGTCCAAAGAGACCAAGTCTCCCTTGCTGTGTCCTTTAGAGAGACATGAAAGCAAACTGTGAAGTCAGGGCCTTACCAGCTGCTCCTGGTTCTTCATCTGGTCAGCAGCTTGCTTGGCTATGGCAGACTTGGCCTCCTCCGCAGCCCGGCGCTCCTTGTCTAGCCGCTCTGCCTCCTCTTTCGCTCGTTGGCGCTCCTGCTCCAGCTCCAGAGCTTTTCGAGTCTGCTCTTCTAATTCTGTCAAAGGTTTCACCCAGCCCACAGACATGGTTTAATTTCAATCATCTTCATTACAACAAAATGCCAAAATCTAAAGATCACCATTGTCTAAATATACAAACACTTCAATTTTAACCTTGTAAAAAGTAATAATTTTAGAAATTATGTAAATCAAAACTGCAAGGACACCAAAAGCCCCTTACAGTTCAAGTTGTGTAAAAGTACATAATTTTTAATCTCTAATTTTTGATCCAGGGGAATTAGAAAGACTGCAGCCTGGGTGAAGAGTATCTGCCTAGATGTATAAGGCTCAAAGTACAATCTCCAGTACTGCCCAAGAATAAAGACTGAGTTTTTTATCTCAGTAGGCACCATATTTAGAGATCTATAAATTAATGCATTTTAAGACCTATGGGGCTAGGGCTATAGCTCAGTGCTACAAGACTTGTCTAGCACACAAGACAAGGTTTAACCGTTAGTAGAATAAGCACAGAAAGGGATCCCTCATGGGAAATGCATAGAGATCCAAAGCATTTTGGATTTCAGATTTGTGAAGATTTTCAGTATTTAATGTACACAGTGAGAATTTATAGCTAAGACTCAATCTAACATGAAATTCATTGGTTTCGATGCATCTTTCTTGCAGAACCTCAGGTAATCTGATGCAGGCCCTTCAGTGTGCCTATGCTGTGACTGAGACCCGCCACATGAAGTCAAGCGTGCAGTTTTCACTTGTGACATTATGTCAGTTTGAAACATTTCAGATTTGGGGGTATTGAGATCTTTGTTAATTTGATAAGTCATCAACAATCTTGAGAGGCTAACTGTAGACACTAAGTTCAAAAAGCAATTTGACATAAAAGCTCTTAGGTAACTTACAATTGGGGAGAGGGAAAGGGAGAGAGGGAGAGAGAGGGGGAGAGAGAGGGAGAGAGAGAGAGAGAGAGAGAGAGAGAGAGAGAGAGAGAGAGAGAGAGAGAGAGAGAGAGAGAGAGAGAGAGAGAGAGAGAGAGAGAGAGAGAGGGAGAGAGAGAGAGAGAGAGAGAGAGAGAGAGAGAGAGAGAGAGAGAGAGAGAGAGAGAGAGAGAGAGAGAATATACCCCCTCAAGAAATAATGAAGAGGCTGGCCAGCATGGGAATCTGTGCATGTACCAAGCATAATTTTTTCTTATCTCAGTAAAGTGAAAAAAATATTACTAACACAAAACTATTATTTAAAAACCTAGATGACTTTAAAACATTGAATGTAGCATTACTTTGGCAAGTCTTAATAAGAATTCATATAGAACAGAGTGGAATGTCCAAAGAGACCAAGTCTCCCTTGTTGTGTCCTTTAGAGAGATGTGAAAACAAACTGTGATGACAGGATTTTATATTTCCTAATTTTGCTGGACTTGATCAAAACTAGCATAAGTCAACTCAATTAAGAGATTTGGGAGATGATTTTGAGGATTAGAGAAAAAAAGTGACTCTGGTTAAACTTTAAGTTCTTGAAAAAATGGCATACAAATTCTATGTAGCTATTTAGCCACAAATATTAAAAGTACACAATACAGGATGTCACCACAGCTTAATCACATGATGATTCATGTTGGATTTCCATTTCAAATTTGATCAAGTTAACCTAGAATAAGCTTCTCTTGCCCTACTTGGCTGACAGAGCTCACAAAGCTCATGGCACTACCATTCAGCTACAAAAACAAGGTTTTTGAAAATAGGGTTCCAAAGAAACACATGTATGCTAAGTCTCAAAGGTCAGGAATTGGGAAACCTATTCCAATATGCATGAGTCTGCAGGTATTATGCTACGTGCAATAAGCCAGTCACAGGAAGACAAGCACTCCATGATTCTACTCACTACTATCCACAATAGCCAGGCAGACAGAGAAGGGTATATGCTGAGGGGTATGGGTAGACGGGACTAGGGAGATACTGCTTAACAGACAGAGGTTTAGCTTTGCAGGCTGAAAGGGGTTATAGATGATTCTTCGTATCTTTAAACCATATACTTCAAAAACTGGCAGTTTGGTAGTATGGTAAATTTTTATGTCTGCCAGAGTAAAAAAAAAAATTCTTAGAAGTTTGGATTACAAATTGTATTTTGACATAAATAGTTCCTAATGTTATTTTTTTATCAATTTTATATAGTATCAATTAAAAAGACACAGATCCAATAACTTTTTGTGATAGATTTTCAAAAAGGATTATATAAAAACCCATCTTTTAGAATGTTAAGATGAACATTATTCTAGTCTCACCTACAAAAAACAAACACAAAAACATTTGGGTATTCATATGACCTTAAATGGAAATGTTCAGCTTTCACTACAGCACTAGAACAAGTATTAACAAACGCTAACCCATGGACCAAACCCAAATCTATTTTTTTTCTTTTTTTTTGTTTTGTTTTCAAGACAGGGTTTCTGTTTTTTTTGTTTTGTTTTCAAGACAGGTTTCTCTGTATTGCTTTGGAGGTTGCTCTGGAACTCTCTCTGTAGACCAGACTGGCCTCAAACTCAGAGATCCACCTGCCTCTGCCTCCCGAGTGCTGGGATTAAAGGTGTGCGTCACCAACACCCAGCTTTCTTTTTTTTTTTTTTTGCCAATGCTATTTTATTAACATTTTATTGAGACATCACCACCACCTTCAATCAGAATTTACATGACTTCTTTCACACAAAAGCCAAACCAAGTAATCGAGACTGTGTAAATGCCTAAAACATTTACTGAATTAGACCATATGTGAGTCAAGACTGGTGAAGGACTTGATAAGAATGAGAAATAGTACAAACTATCCCCCTATGTGGCTCATAAAAAAAAATATAGAACTTTCCATCTTGGGGATGTAGCATGAAGGCTTATTTAAAATATCAACTCTTTCAAGACAAAGGTTGAAAAGTCACAAAGACAGTCTGCTTATATCTTTACTCATATCAGAGTGGTGTGTATGGTCATGATATTTAATATGAAGGTGATAGGCAAAGTTAATGAAAATTCAAACTATAAAATTTAAGGAAGCTTCTCTTCTTCATTCATATTTGAACCCCAGCATCATATGACTCTGCATGTCAAATGACTTCTTACCTCAAGAACCAAGTTTAGAAGCTACTACTAGTAGTAACAAAAACCTACATGCCTTAATAGATAATACAGCCCAAAACATTAAGTTTTTCTTTCTCTTTTTTAAGCCAATGGTTTATCAATTAATTTTTGATTTCCTGGGGAAAATATATATCTTAGAAGAAAAAGTAACAATTCAATAATCACAATTTTTAGAATTCATAGAACACTGTGGCTGTGTATTATCAACAAAGGGAAAAAACCAAAAAAATAGTACACCTAAGCAATAACAAAGTTATTACATGGCATTGTAAAAAGAGTAAAGAAGATTTCGATGACGAGTATAATTGTTAGGATACAGAAATTGAAAACAATTTTTTGTCAGATACAGTGGTGTGTACCTGAAGTCCTGGGTACCTTAGAAGGCTAAAGAATATGACCAGTTGACTCCAGGAGTTCAAGGCCAGCCTGGGGAATAAGTTGAATCTCCTCTTAAAACAAAAACCCAGAACGTATGTCACACATGCCTTTTGTGTGACAAATGAGAACACAATTTCACATGCACTATGTATTTATTCTGTAAACAAAAAGGTATCTGCTTCCCAAGAGCAGACAACAGCAAAGTCACACAGCAGCCTGGAACTAACATACTGGGACAGGAAGACCAAGATGAGGATGTAGAGCTTGAGATTGGAAAAGTACTAGAATAAGTGACTAAAAAAGGAAGGGGCAAACAAGAAGAAACGCTCAACTCTGCATGCTGTTTTCCTCCAATATATTTGCCAATTCCCCAAACGTGCACATAAGTGAGACAAGAAACACACAGAAAGCATGCAGGAGGCTACAGAAGCAGGGAGAGAGATCACACGCCTGTGAAATGACAGCATTTGGGGGTGACACAGACAAGCCCTTGTCATGTCTAAGCTACCATCTCCTTGGGAGAAAAATATTTGCAAATCATGAATTTGATAAAGATTTGTATCCCAGACATATAAGAACCCTTAGAACAAGAAGAAACCCCATTGGCCAGTGGGCAGAAAATTTGAACATCCCCCCCCCCAAATAAAGAAATGGCCAGTAAGCACAAGGAAAGATGTTGAGTATCATAGGTACTAAGGTACCGAAGTCAAAACCCTAAGAGCACTGTGCATAATTTAGGAAGATGATAACCCAAGACAAGCATTAGCACATTCTGGAGAAGACACAAGAATTCACACATTGCTGTAGAACATAAAGCCACTTTCAAACAAGTAGGCAATATGAAAACATTAAAACAAATCTATACATGTACATTCATAAGTTATACACAACACAGTGAAATAGTAGAAACAATGCAAGTGCCCAAAAACTGATAGATTAAAAAAATATAAAATATCACTCAGCAATTTGAAAAGAATGAAATGCTAATATGTTTCAATACAGATGCACTTTGAAAATGCTAGGCTAAGTAAAAGAAACGGGTTCACATATACAGAAAAGGCAAGTTTGTAGATGTGGTGAATGGATGAACAGTTGCCCATGGCTGGGAGAGAGAAATTAGCTGACTGCTTAATGGGCATGGGATTTCTTCTTAGAGACGACAGATTTTGAAAATTAGAGTGGTAGCTACACATCACTCTGAACATATTAAACATCATTAAACTGTGTAGTTTAAGTGGATAATTTATAGCACATTAATTGTATCTCAACAAAGCTATCAGTATAAAAAGATAAAACTAAGACCTCCAAAAACAAAATCAAATGACTGAGAATAAAAGAATGCCATAATGTTCATTATCTTGTCTTGACAAGCTACAAGAATAAGACTGTGTACAGTCACATGATTTTAGGGAATATACATACCACTCTGTAACAAATGCCTGAGGCTTACTCCTAACAAGTGTACACAGACTCTATCAGTACTTCACTGAGATAGCACTTAAGTTTCCAGATAATAAAACTATAAATAATAATAATAATAATAATAATAATAATCTCAGAATGCTAAGTTAAGGATTATTTCCACTTCAGAAATTAGGAACCTAAGAAAATGAGGATGTTAAAATGATTTACTCATGGTCATATTCTAACTTGATGATAAAGTTAAGGCTTTGCTTCTAATTGTAGACAGTACTATCTAATATTCATTACATTATCATGCTGACTGCTCGTCCACAGCGGCTCAAACTGCATAAAATGATTTTGTTTAGTTGTTGCTCCAGTCCCATCAGTAAGTATACGCTGCATCAAAGTGGGGACCGCATCAGTAAGGACTCAGGCATTTGCTGGCCTGTCCCTGTCACAATGCAGTCAGGCAGTAAACTGGTCAGCCCAGGTGCAAAGGACCCCTTTAAAAGAAAGACCTCCACCCACTTATACTCTTGTTCTGCTCTCTCTTTCCTGCTCATCTGCCTCTCTGTCTCTTTACCTCTTTTCTCTTTCCTTCCCCCTCCCTCCCCTTTCCAATAAAACTTCTCACTTAAACTCTGCCTGGCATGTTTGACCAGTCTCAGTCAACCTTGCCAGCCATGTAATCCACCAAAGTTCACCACACTTTATCATAACAGCATCTATCCAGTTTCATGCACCCAGGACTTATTACACACCCAGAATTAATCACTAGACCACGACTTCTTTCTATAGATTGTCTTACGGAGTCAATTTTACTTTGGTATTTGTTAGAACAGCAAATGAATGGCAATCTGGTGACAGTTATCTTTCAGGTATCCCCAATACATACATCTTCAAGACGTTCTAAGGCAATTGCTCTACTTTTTTTGTTCTACTTAATGAGTCATATGAAGTTACAGCTTCAATAATAATTAAAACAAAATGACAATGAAATATGATTAATATAAATATCATGACATATGGTCATTTACTGCACTTGAATGAGAATTTAGTACAAATTACAAGACAATCATATAGGTTTTAGGACTGCTTGGGAAAGCTTTATTTAAAAAAAGTACAGTGGATGTCCTTTGCCTTAAGATGACTGATTTGCAATTGTCTTGATAAAGGTGGTCTATATTCTTTATGTTCTATGTCCCTTATACTCTTCAGTGCTTCTTTGAGTAGTTTTGTATGTAAACCATTAATACTTTTATTATACATCCTAAATAAATGAGATTAAAATTAAAAGATTTAGTGGTTATTCTCTTAAAGAGTTATGTAAATAAATTTTAAGAAGCTATGAACCAATACTTCACTTACTATCAAATATTAATTCTTTAACTACCCTTCAGTATAATGCAGGAGGATATATGCCCTGTGGTACTAAGAACCAAACTGAGGGTCTCATATATGTAAGCAAGCATGCCATCAATGTGCCCTACATTCCTCAGTTCAAGTTTCTTTCCAACATTCTTGAAAGATGACCCTATACTAGTCATGTGGTCCTTAACACACATACACCATGTCACTTATCAGTTTTTTTTATCTGTAGTTTTACTGCCATGTAGGCTGTATGTACTCCTAGAAGACAATGAAAAAGTACCTAAAGCAGAATACACAGCATCAAATTTGGGATTCATTCTATCTCCATTTTGTGCTCTATTAACAGATGCTTTACAACTTTTCTGTGTTGAAGAAAATTCTAGGTATGAGAGGAGAGATTTAGCTACTGAGTTAAAATAAACCATTTTAAAATCTGTTTATTTAGTCTGTGATATGGATACACATAGAGGCCTGAAGTCAGCCAGAATCTGTTCTCTCTTTTTGAGACTCTCTCATGGCATGGGTCTCACTTACTTGGTAAGGCTTCCTGGCTAGTCAACCCTGGAATCTTCCTATCTCAGCTTCCCCACTACTGGGTTGTGAGCTAGTACCTTTTATGTAAGTTTGTGAATCAAACTCAGATCATCATGCCGGCAAAGCTAGCTAGTGCTTTACCCAACGAGCCATATCTCCAGCCCAAAGACACATCTGGTAAGGTGGGACACGCCAGTTAACCTAGTATTTGTGAGGAGGGAGCCAGGAGTGTCAAAAGTGTGAGGCCAGACTGAGTTGTAAATGTGAGTAAAAACATGCCCACCCCATATACACACACTCAAAATTCCCAACAGTCTCTACAAAAAAAATATTCCCAATACTCCTGGAATTAGAGTTATGTAGATGGATAGTTATTTATGTGACCATCTCCTCTGGATACCTACTGGAAAATGGTCCTATTTCTGAAAAATATCTCCACATGGGAAAATGATATACAGAATCAATTTAAGTCTTAGATAACACTGCCATTTCCAATAAAAACAAATGGCTAGTTCTACTAATTGTTAGGGGAAGGTATTATAAACAGTAAGTTCATACTATCTGCTGAAAGTCTGTAGCTTGGGAAGAACAATTTGCTCAATTAACTTTTTTTCTTCTGTTCTCTCCACTAATACTAAGTCAAAGTAGTGTATCCTAGAGTTATTCAATGTAAACACTATGTCTTTCTATATACTTCAGCACTTTGACTACATGTTGAATAGGAAGTTAATCTAAACATGTCAAAAGCAAACAGGCAGCGTGACATGTCTTGCATGAGTGTGTATGTTTTGAGCTGAATAACAATCCTTATACATATTAGGCAAGTGTTGTACTGAACCATACCCCCCACCTTTAGTGCTCATGATACACAACTAACCAAGTGTACAAAATCTTTAGTGCTCTGTAGTAACTGAAATCAAGTATTTCTTAGGGGTTGAGTTTATGCAGGGAGAACTGAAAACTACTTCAAGTACTTAAATGTCCCAAAGCCTTTACTAATGGGCTGAGGTGCCAGAAGACAGTAAAGACATGCTTTTAGTTATGGAATTCCAAAAAGTTAAAAACTATAAATCTATGTACGGATGATATAGAATACATACAACATGTGCATGATTAAAAACTGGAAGGGAACAAGAGCACAGCAGAACTGTGTCTTAAACAGACTTTGATAAGATTCTACTACACACTAGTCTGTGAATTAAACACAACCACCTTATACAGCAGAGTAACATGCCATATCGACTGAGAAACACTGCTGTTTAGCATCACAGTAATAGCCTTGAATTCACTGTTCAAAAAAACTGTACCTTTTTGGGCCTTCATTGTCTGCTCTTCAATTTGCCTCAGACGCTCCATCAGTTCTTCCTTCTCACGCTCTATTCTTTCCTTTTCCTTTTCTGCTATTTCCCTTTTCTTCTTTTCATTCTCTAATTGTGCCCTTAAATTACAAGTTACATGATACAAATAAATAGGTAGAAACAAATTAATGTTATGTGTTCTAATCCGTAATAAGAAAGCATAAAATAACCATTTAAAAATTTCAATATATTCACCACCTATAGTTCAGTATCTAACACTATGATGTACTACATACTCACTTGCCATACATGGCACTATGTGTTACAACCCCAGAGCTGGAGAATGGCAGAAGCAGGTGGGTCCCTGGAACTTGCTGACAGACCTTGTCTTTCAAGTGTCTTCCCAGTTGCTCTCAACTTCTAACCTTCACACAGTTAATACATGTGTGTGTACATACAATTTTAAAACTTAAAACAAGTATACAAAGCATGGTCTGAGAAACAACTTGGATGGGAAAAACCTCAGGAGATCTAGCATCTGCATACAAATCAGATTAAATGTAACATCTTAATATAGTTTGTTGAACCCACTGCCATAACCCAAGGGAGTTCATTCTTTTAGATCCCAGGAGCCCTCCACTGGGAAATAACAAAGGTTTCAAGAGAACATACACAAGTACCTTCAACTGCAAAACAGCTTGGGAGCTCAATGATTTTCAACCACTAAAAATACAAACTGAATTTCTGGGTACTAGCCATTTACGCTTAGATACAAGATGACAAATAAATTACCACCTTTCACAATTCCATTAAGGTGGCAGAAGGTATTTAATGTTGGTAAAAGGGGAAACAATGCCATGAAGATTTAGCTGTGTCTGTCAGAGCCCTGATAAGATCATTGGGGGGAGAGGAATTGGGGAACATAGTCAAAACTTGACATTTAGCAAGAACCTACCCTAATACAAACTCCATGTGGGTGACCAAAACCAAAAAAGACACTGTGTTACTTCATATGCTTACTATTCAAATTACTACCTTCAATGATACTATTTTTTACTGAAGTGATTCCATATCTAACATTTCCTTACTATTCACAAAAAGATATCAACTGCCACCTAGTGCCAATTCTGAATTTCAGGCCTGTCACAAAACTGTATTACCAAAGAACTTTTCTTATTATGAAAGCCTGATTTTGCAAATTCCTGTAGATCTTTGGCATCCATCTGTTCCCAAGAAAAAAGTGTGGGACTCTGAAAAACTGTCACAAGTCAGCAAGAGTTGCTGTTGGTGGTGACTTTGAAACATTAACACTGACACAGGAAGTTGAAGGGTCACTAAACCACCTGCTAATTAACGAACATCACCCCATTTAAGAACCAAAGACCGGGGACTAGAGAATTGGCCCAGTGGTTGTTAAGAGCACTTGTTCTTGCAGAGGACCCAAGTTCAATTCCCAGCATCCACACGGTAAGCCACAATCATCTATAACTCTTATTCCAGAGGATATGACACCCTCTTATGACCTCTGCAGGCACAAGGCACATACGTAGTGTGCATATATACATGCAGATAAACAGTCAATACACATTAAAAAAATCAAATCTTAAAAAAATATTTTAAAAGAAAAGGCACATACATACATACATGCAAACATACATACATAGATAAAAATTGACTGACTGACTTGACTAAAAGAATTGAAGTGAGGGCTGCTCCACTCTGCTTCTAAGTTCTCTATGATGTATTTCCTCAACACCCAAAACAAAGAGCCAACACCCATCTGCCCTGGGTCTCTGCAGCATTTCCCTCCTCATTTCCATCTATAAAGTGTATTCAGGCAGAGACTTCAGAAGCTGGGAAATTTAGTACCTCTATAAAACCTAAATGAAAATGCTTAAGGGCAAGTTAGCATATCCCAGGCTCCCAGGACAAAAGCAGGGCCTAGCACCAGCTGCCAACTTTAAAAGCCTGCAGTCCACCCGGGTTGTTCACAGAAGTACCAGTTATCACATAACTATCTATAGCATGCTGTCTACAGCCCAGGCTGTTTGTTAGGCTACTCCATCACTCCGTAGCCTCTGTACAGTCATGTACAGCACTATCATAGGTCCTTTCTTCCTGCCAGGCCCTGAGATCCTTAACTCTTGAGGACTCAGTACAAATCAAGTCTCCAGGCCTGCAGGCTATAACCTACCCCAAGTGCTCAAAACCTTTTGGGTCGTACTCTGGCACAAATGTCCCTTCTAGGAAAGGATGTTGGCTTCATTTAGCTTTTCCATATTGGTGCCTCATCCACTCTTCTACAGGGATGGAGGTAAATGAGATATGTAGACAAAAAAAAAAAAAAAAAAAAAGACTGAAAAGGTGACTCTAAGTAAGTCTATAGGAGGCAGTTAACCTGATGATGAGTTGATTCTGCAGTATGGCAGAGATGCGTTTCTCACCTCTTATCTCCACAGAACATCTCCACAGCATGTGATGTGAGGAGTGTTCAGCTCCTCACACCACATGCTAACACCTACGGTCGCTAGGCCGTTTTACCTCCCACATAAAACTGGGAGACATTACTCTCCCTTACACATTGCTCAAAAGGATTAACCTTGTCTACTTACTGGCCCCTAAGAAAATCTGGCATATTCTTATCTCTACATATTTGTTTATGCTGGCTTCCTCTTGAACATGTCTTTCCCACACCCTAACCAAATCACATTTTCCCCAGGAAGTTTCTTAGGATTACTCACATTTATACAGGCACGTATTTTCATTTAAAGTTTGGGTTTCTAAATACTCATTTCAACCTAGTTCTATTTTGAGAACACAAATATACTAAAACTACAAAGTCTCTATACTAACAAGTAAAATTAAATTTTAGAAATACCTTTCAGGCCCATCACCAAAACAGTACAAAAAGTCTGACATTAAATACACCAATAAAAGAGAGCAGTCTGTAACTTTTAGATAGCCTGTCCCAAGCAATTAAAAACGAACAGGTACACATGCATACCTTTCCAACTGCTTCTGATGCTTTTCCTCCCGTGCCTGAGCCTTCATCTGTTGTACTTCAATAGTATCAGGCTTTCTCCTTCGCATGTACAGTTCATGGTTTCCCATACATAAGGCCAAAATCCGCTTATTGATTCTCAGACGAGGAGCATAGAAAACAAAATCCTGAATAGAAAATATTCTTAATTTTAAAATCTTTCTGAATGATAGGGTCTTTTACAACTACCCAATTTCAACATGAAATAGAATTCTGATGTTACTGCACATGAAGTTTAGGGACTCCCAAATCTCAGGCACCACCACAGTTCCTTATCCCTTCATCCCTCTCACCCATTGTCTGAAGGCGAATGAAATGTCATTAATTCTTTCAAATTCTCCAAAGAAACTACAAACAGCTATTCTTACACCCCAGAGAAGAGTTTGCTTTGCCAATACTGTCAAAACTGGTCTTTCTTCATGGCTATGTTTTAATCTAGAAATGTTCTTCAAATATTTATCTTTTAGATAAAGATAAGTACTAAAGTATGACACTAATTATTAAAATCTATTTCAATAAAAAGTCTCAAATATTAAAAAGGAAGTTCAGAGTACAAGAATAGAGTTAATGAAAAAATAAAATAAAAAAACAGTAACCTCTACTACATTCTTGCAAACAATAAATGCTGTTTAAATTATTTCTTAGGAATGATTGTTAACACCCTTTACCAATGTTAACACCATTACCAATCATATAGTTAAATCATAGCTAAAATTCTTAAGAAAATGGAAACTTTTGTATTTTTAATAGCATTTCATCACTGAGAAAAATTTATCTATCGGTAGAGAATCTCTCTCAGAAACAACTTGGGGTGATCAGTGCCCTTAGAAAATACTTACAGGTGCCTTTTTGTCAATTGGCTTTATAACAAATTTTTTGTCATTAAATGAAATATTTCGGATTTCACTCCAGGGAAAACCAATTTTAGGTGTTAACCTAAAAAAAAAAAAAGAGTTGCTTTAAATTTAAGGCAGGAAACAGTGGGAAAACACACAGCTTTCCGGGACAGGTTAAGTGAATGACCAGTCTTAAGAGTACCAGATTCTCATAGCATATAATCTTACTCACACTATACAGGTGACACTAACTTTGAAAGGAAAATTTAATTCAATCACATAAAATAATAACCATTCAAGATTTTCTGGCTTGAATTTCTCTTCTGTTTAGTTTTTATCATGTTGAGTCTTTTTTGTTTGTTTTTTGTTTTTTCGAGACAAGGTTTCTCTGTATTGTTTTGGAGCCTGTCCTGAAACTAACTCTGTAGACCAGGCTGGCCTAGAACTCAGAGATCCGCCTGCCTCTACCTGTTGAGTGCTGGGATTAAAGGCATGTAGTTTGGTAGGGGAAAGTAATTATAACATAGTTATAAATTCTGATGTGGAATACAAAGTTCTGAGTATTAAAGATTTCCTTTTCATAATTTTAAGATATATGACAATATAAAAGTAGTGAATTTCAGTAAAGCTTAGTTTTATGATATGTGAACCTAACAATGAAGATTGCTCCTATTTTCTTCCTACTCCTCTCTCTGGTCCCCTGTCGCTGTCTGTTGTTTAGGCTCTCATGTCAAGGCTCTCATTATATAGACCAGACAGGCCTAGGCCTTATATCCCCATGCCTTAACACCCAAGTACTAGGATATCAGAATGTGAGCCACTATGCCTAGCAATTGTCACCACCATTTTGCCACCCTGTCTACAAACATATTGTGAATCAGTCTAGAATCATTTTTGTTCTTATGACAACAAAAATAACTATCTTTCTCTCTCTCTCACACACACACACACACAGGCCATTTTAGTCAGGTTCCTGATAACAAATTTCTACCTATTTATACTACTTGTAATGCCTAATATAGCATAGCTACTTATTTACATAAAATACTCATAAACAATATGCATGTTATTCTGCTCTCTAATGAGATAAATCAGTACAATGTTTTAATGAGACTGTAGAATAATGCCTAGGGTGGGAAGGATCACTAGCGTAAACTTATTATTCTTTCGAAAAAGACTTTATTGTGTGTACTGATGTACATGACTGCAGATACCCTCAGAGGCCAAATGAGTCCATTCTCCCTAGAGCTGGAGTTACAGAAAGTTGTGAACCTTAAGACATGGAATCAAGCTCACATCCTCTTTAAGAGTAGCATATGCTCTCAATTGCTGAGCCATCTATCCAGCCCTCCATTTTTACACTTGAAAAGAACTATGAGTCTGGTATATTCACACTATATTATATACTTATATCATCTATTTATAGTATATATTATGTAGTATTAATATATATTAACATTACATATATACACATAACTAATAATACCACATTATAGTATTAATTAATATATAGATACTATAAGGTCATGATATATCATATATGATATGAATTGTATAAGTATATAAAAAATTAAGTTGATCAAATTCAAAATATTACACTAGCCACTGTGAATAATAGGATAAGCTACTGAATTGATCTTTAAAGGGATTCCTATAAGAAAATGCTTAAACACATCTATTAATTTATTTCTTCTTGACTTCTTATGTTAACTTATTTCAAGCTACAAGTCAACTACAACATTTAAGGACTCTCTTACTAAGGTAACGGATTTTACTTGTTACTAGGTTTCACTAACAAGAGATAAAAGTGGCATTGTAAATCCAGGTGAACTCATTTAATAAACAGACTCGGAAGTGAACTCCAAAACTATAAGGTACTAGGAAAAATAGAAATGATACTCAATGTGGAATTAACCATCCCTTTACTGTAAGAAAAGAAAGCAATAAGGACAATTGAGTCAATTTCTCCAAACAGAGCTAATCTGGCAGCCATTCAGACCACAGAAGAACTAGCTCACCAGACACCTGTGTACTCACTTGTCGTCATGCTCATAAATATTCAGACCCAAAGCATCAACACCCAGCCACAGTTCAGTGCCCTTCTTATTCTTGATTTCAAAGTAGTTGACACCATACATTTCTAGATCTTGAGCAATCTTCAAGTATTCCATCATCGAATCTTCCCTATTAAAATACAGCTGAATGTAATACATTTAAGTAGACACTTGTAAACATCAAACTAAAACTACAAAAATACATGGAGCTAACATTCAGTGCTTTATATTTATTTATCCACATCAAAAGATGGGATGTATATGTATAACCTGTTCTGGTATCATTGCAAACCTTTTTAATGTGCGTGCATGCATGTGTGTGTGTAGGGACCCATGACCATAGCATGTGTGCAGGCTGTGTCAGAGTCAGTATCCTGGCTGAATACTGATGTTATAGAAGATGTTACCAGGGAAGGTTAAAACAGTTTTAGATAGCTTAAATTACTTTAACTAATTCATGTGTTTAATGGGCATTACATAGTTTCCAATTCAAATGTTTCCAATGAATCATACTCTGGAGTGAAAAAATAGCTATCTCATTATTAACAGAAAATTAAGTAACAGACAGGAAAATAGAATTCTTGAGTCCTGATTATTCCTTTATTCTCCATATCTACTATTTTTGTGACAAAATTTAACATTGTCATTTAAGGAAGGAAAGGGAGGGAGGAAGGAAAGGGAGGGAGGGAGGGAGGGAGGGAGGGAGGGAGGGAGGGAGGGAGGGAGGGAGGGAGGGAGAAGCCAACCAACCCTCAGAAGTTGGTTTTCTCCCACCACGTGGGTAGGGAGTCAACTCAGATAGATCATCAGGTGTGGCAGCAACTTTAGGTGCTTGCTGAGTATTCTCACCTGCCCAAAAAGCTTTTCAATGAGATGGCAATGCTTTAACTTGGAAGAAATAAACAGAAAATAGTTCTCCAGATACCTTAACATTCCTCTGTGTTCTTCATGCCAGTTTTGTATCCTCTCCTCCCACTGCTCTTTTGTCAGTTTGTGCTGTTCCAAAACGCTAAAAAGGAAAAGTAATGTCTTTGATTTAAAAAAAAAAAAAATCAAGATCTTTTCAAAGTCTATGGAATCTTATAACTTGTCTGTGATACATGTCACACAAATCAGTGCACATGTTAAAACTACATAGAATTAAAAACACAACTGAGGATATAAAACGCAGAATAGAACAAGGTGATGGGCTGTGTGTGTCAGTCAGTATCCTGGCTGAATACTGAAGTCATAGATGATGTTACTAGGGAAAGCTAAAACAAAGTTTTAGATAGCTTAAATTACTTTAACTAACTAGTGTTTTAAAATGTATAAGCCATGTAAAGATGAAAAATACACAGAGAGTCTGGATACTGTATGCTATTGTGTTTTTCAGTTTTTTGACTGCTAAAGGAACAACTGCTAAAGTATACTTGATTATAAATGCTGCTTAATTAATCCAACTTATATATTTCAAAAATGCTTTGACCTCTAACTTTAAATACAAAGACTGGTTACTTGGGAAAAGAGTTTTTATGTTTCTACAGTAAATGGAAAGCTGTGGATTCCTTCCAGGCTCCTGTGGTTTAATGAACCAAGACCCCCCGGAAGCAGTGGCCCAAGTGATTCAACATATACAACAGCTAAGATGATGCAGCCTTACAGACCCCAAAAATAAGGACTTATACAGGTTTCTGAGTTTTGTCATGATCCCCATGGTATAAAGAGCGCCCCCTTCCAGCACGAAGCAGTTTGGAATGAGCGACGCCCAAATTTCCATATTGTTTATAAATATTTGTTTTCATTTAAATGGGGTTGCTTATAATTGGTTAATGATCACAGCCAATCTCTTTTTAATGGTAAAAAGGGAAATTACGGTATGGGTATGGTTTTTCATTTATTGATACAAATTCAAGGTCATTTTTGTGATGCATATATTTCTTCTCTTGATTAAGTATTGTACTTATACTGATCTTTTAAAATGTAATGCATAATATAGACTAGTCAGAACTTATAGTTAGGTTAGTTAGGTTTTCTAGATACACAGAGATATATTTGAGATAGATAGTCTTCAAACCTTTCAAAGACCTTCGGAAAATGGCATTGAAAATTATTTAGGGTTTTTCTTGGCAATGAGAAATGTCTGCTCCTGACAGCACCAGTTACATCTGAGAGGAAGATGGGCATCGAAGAAACTCGTTATGGAGTTTGCTTTCAACATGGCAAGATTAGCCATTTGGGCAAGAAACTGCTCTTGCCTGGACTGCCTGACTGTTGCTGTATAAGCTGGACATGTAGGACCCACAGTAAAGTGACTGCTAAACTCAAACTTCATGGAAGAGTCTACGAGACTTTCTGCAGGACACAGAAAAATGAATGACAGTCTGCCAATGCAGATGGACAGTTTGGAATTTCCTGCTTTGCTGAGAAGTCTTCCGGACACACTGTGGCCTATGGACTGAAGATGGATGCCCCAACATTACAGAGGAACTTCGGATGACTGTTCAGGTAGCAAGATGTCTCTGTCAATTCTAGTGTTTATATAATATCTTTCCGTGGTCTGATGGAGTTGAAGACAGATAGTTATTATCATATTTTTCCTTAGTTATGACAAAAGATAAGTTACATATAAGACTTTAGACTCATAAAGATGGGATAGATGATACTTTCTTTAAATTTTACTAAATGTTAATAAACAAAATATTGTAACTATGTTGTTACTTAATAACTGTTCTGTTATATATAATTTGACTATGTTAAAGTTAAAACCTTTCTTTTTATTTAGACAGAAAAGAGGAGATGATGGAAGATGCCATTCTGTAAATCTGTCTCTTTTTGGTTGTTGAATAAAGTACTGTTGGCCAATAGGAAAGCAAGATAGGTGGGACTAAGAGTCGAGCAGGATTCTGGGAAAGACAAATACAAGGAGTCACGATGTAGCCGCCACAGCGGGTAAGAAGTCTGGACCCTTTCTCCAGTAAGAGAAATACTTAGATAAGTTAAATACTTAAGTCAGAGATTGCCAGTAAGAAACAAGCAAATGGCCAAAAGCTTCATAATTAATACAGTGTCCTGTGTATTATTTGGGGATTGCAATTGTGGCAGGGCCCAGGCGGATGGCATGGCAGGCTGCTCTCAACAAAAATGGGCATTATATAGTTTATAAGAACTCAAATGTTTCAAATGAATCATATTCTGTAAAATTAAGAGCAGACAGGAAAATAGAATTCTTGGGTCCTGATTTATCCCTATATTCTCCATATCTATTTTTGTGACTAAATTTAACATTGTCATTTTAAGTAGATAATACTTTTATTAAGAAAGGAGAAAGAAAACATAACATTAAACCGAGCATGGTGGTGTGTTGGGGGAAGTCCTGTGCATTTGTCAATAAAGTACTGTTAAGCCAATAGGAAACCTAGATAGGAGGGACTAGGAGTCCAGGAGGACTCTGGGAAGGAGAAACACAGGAATTCAAGATGTAACCGCCATGGGATAGGAAGCCCGGAACGTCTCCGGTAAGAGAAATACATAGATTAACAATTATGGGGTAAATACTTAAGTCAGAGCTAGCCAGTAAGAAACAAGCAAGGCAAACAGCTTCATAATTAATACAGCGTCTTGTGTGTTTATTTGGGGACTACAATGCGGCAGAGCCCAGGCGGCTGGCGGGGGATAAACCAAAGCAGCTAGCAAAGAAAAAGCTTCTCTTAACAGTGGTGAATACCTATAATCCCAGAACTTAAACTGAGGCAGGCAAATTTTGAATTTGAAGTCAATGTGGACTACCCAATGTGCTCAAGGACCAAAGTGCTCAAGTACTCCACACTAAACCCTATGCCCAGACCATACACCTGTCCTCTAGTAACCTTTGTGTTTCGTATGTATTCTGTCAGTTCTTACTTAACTGTAAACCGATAAAGTATTCACATCTGTCTATTCAATGCCAAAGCAGCAAAAGCAAATATTTATAATATACTATAAATACCATAGACTAATTAGAATTCTCCTTCAGCCATAGAAAAATTAACCACTTTTGTTTATTGTGGATCCTTAAAGATTACAAATCTAAGGTTGTGTAACTAGCAAAGAGCAGATTAGATTCAGTTCCCAAACTTCATTCTCCAGTTATTTGTTCCTTTGCAATGTTGCTTTCAGTGTTACAAAGGTGAGACTACACGGCGCACTAAACCAAAACTTCATTCTATGGAAGAAACAGTTCTTGCCCCCTATGAGTCAACAACATTTATTATGCATCCACCTGCATGTGTTCTAATGTTTACAAACAATAATTCATATCCTTCCCTCAAGACCAAACCATACCTTCTTTTGCTGCAGATGAACACAGCAGAACAGATATGAATAAGCCATGATCTTTATAAAAAAGATCCACTTGTCAACTTAATATCCTTTTTTTAAGAAAGTCAGCATAAGCTTCTGGAATATAACTTTAGAGAAATTAAATAAGGGCATACTTTACTTACCGCTGTGGTAGGAGTCTGTCATTAGCCAGGTATCCTGGTTTGTGAATCTCTTTATTATAATCTCCATACTTGGCTTGGACAGCATATGAAGCCAAAAGAACTGCAGTTTCTGGTGGGCAATATATCTCATCATTTAAGATGGCTTCTTTAACTTGCAAGAAGAAAAGTCTCTGTGTTATTTCTTGAATCAATTCCTCAGAAACATCTTCAGGAAAGAATTTAGCTCTAAACTTGAACTGTAAAGGATTTTCTTTTTTAACATCTTGCTGTGTCACCTAGAATAGTAATTTCAAGTATAATCAACAAAACTTAATTCACTGTAAATGAATATATTTACATCAAACTCTTTTTTGAAGAAAGTGGACAGTAATGCTGTATACAAGTCTGTAAACAAATGCATGTGCTGTGTGTGGTCCTGAGGCTGCCAGCACAGCTCTGGGAGCCCAGTCAACAGCCAGAATGAAAACGTCTTTGTGTGCTGGAGCTCATCCTGCAGACATTCACAGCTGGTGTGCTCGTTTTTTAACCCATGTTAACACCTGCTTCAAAGTTCTAATTCTCACGAGCATTGGTTCACACAAAGTGTGTGCAGTATGTTGGAGATTCGTCAATGAAATAAAAGGCATGAGTAATGATCAAGAGACAACTGCAAAAGGAAGCCTGGACTTAGTCACACCCTGCTAATGCTTTTTCAACCCAGATTAATAAACATATCAAATTAAATTAATGTTACTATACACATCTTACCTTTTTATTAAGTTTAAGCCAAGTAGAATATCCTTTGCTGTCTACATACTGCAGCCCAAAAAACCAGACTTCACGCAAACCAACTGTTTTTACAACCTACAAAACAAACAAATTCAGTTCAATATTTACACAGTGATCAGTTGACATTCAACACTATAAACTACAAGGACAAAACTACACAAGGAGAAGTGCCAGAGAATGGTTTTCCTGTAACACACTCTTTTCTTTTTGACATGTTCAAAGAACATTTCTGAAAACATCAATTCAGGTTTTTATACCCAATCCTGTTATGCCACTTCTATCTTCTTCCTTGACTCAGTGTGTTTTCTATCTTTATTTCCTTGGCTCACATCATAGCCTCAATAAACAGTGTGAAAGCCTATATTCCTATTTGATTCCTTCCAAGTGTCCCACCAGTACTGAGGGCAAAGCACTTCACTCTGGTGATAGAGTCTGGTACCTTCAACACTCTACCTTCACTGAAACAATTCTTGGACCATGCCTAAGTTTCACCATTCTACATCGATGCTCATGCTTTTCCTTCCGCCTACAATACTTCTGCATCTTTATCACTCACTGATTTTTTATTTCAGTTCCAGATCAACTAACATTCTTTTTGTGAATAAAATCTAAAATCTCTTCTATCATAGAAATGAAATTATCCATTTGTTTCCTATACCAACTAGGTTACACTGTATCTTTTTAAGTGTCTTAGCACCTAAGGACAGAGTGATATCACTTTATTCATCTTGAAATCCATGTCTTCTGATAGGATGACTAATGGAAAGTTCCCAGGAAAAAGCCACACTGTGTTGAAGATTGCACAAAGTTAAGCATGGAGATTTTACAAGATTAAGCATGGACAGTTGAAATGTTACAGATGCACAAATTATCCTGTTATCTTTGGTCTTTGCAACTGGCATTCATTGTGCACTTCCTTATTTGAACTAACACCCATTCAACTATCTAGTTTAAAGAACAAAAACAAATAATAAAAAAACCCACCTTCAGACTCTGTTAGTTTAGCAGATCACCAGCTTCTACTAACCCTAAGCTAAGAATGTCATCAGATAACATCTGAAACATACAGTGAAATGTTTCCCTATTGCTGTAACCTATCTGCCAACTGTTGTCACCAAAGTGGTGAATGTTCTATGCTTCTTTCTGGTTCCATGACTATAGCAATCCACGGAACAACTTCCACAGTGGGATGTAATCAAATCAACCTGTGTATGGGTTCCTAAAAAACTCAAAATAAACATTCCCTTTGAGGTGAGAACTGTGTTGCATATGAACACTAATCTGTCGTGAGCATTATAAGGACTGAAATAAAGTAGCAGAACCAGAATACATACCAGGATACCACCATATTACATTATTTTTTTTTTACTACAAAAGATTTAACTTCATTTAAGTAGTAAGCACTTTTGACTAAATAATACTGTCAATTTTACAGGGTCTAAAATCACCTAGGAGACACACCTTTGCCTGTGCCTACAAAAGATTATCTGGATTAGGTTAACTGAAGCAGAAAGACCCACACTGAATGTTTCAACACTCACTGCTTCCTAACTGAATGCAATGCAACCTGCTGACTGCAGTTCCAACTGCCATGATTTCCTTGCTGTGATGAACTGGATCTGAAAACTGTGAGCAACACTAACCTTTCCTTCCTGAGGATGCTTTAGTAAGGTTATTTTCTCACAGCAACAAGACAAGTAACTGATCCAACAGAAGTACAGAAAACATTCAAACTAAAGACGTGAAACCAAGCAACCAGCCTTAGCTTTTTCATCCCTGCTGATAAGTTTCAAAGCTGGCTAAAGAGAAAGGACATGAATACCATTCAGAAGGTACTACAGAGGACACTGGCAGGTAACTGTCACAACAATCACGAGAGGCTCCTCTTCTATCTAGACACACTATCACAAATTCTCATCTACCTTTGTGAGAAAAATCTGTCAGAAGCATAACTGCAGCAGATCTATTCACAAATGTACTAGCAAACTAAATAACATTGATTTTAAAGACTTTGGAAGAAGAAAAAATACAAATACTTCAATCCTTCTTATATCCTAGTAGATCTTCTTACATACTCATTAGGTACAAGAATACTAACTAGTATTTGGTCCAACATGGAGAAGCTGGGTGATACAGTCAGCAGAGAGTCAAACAAAAGGATTGCTACACCTGACATAGCAGTTGGCCTCAATATAACATTACAATAAAAGTAAGACACTTCCACCTTTAAATACCAACCCCAGAGTAAAGACTGTAGGGAAAGGAGTGACAAGGAAAATAGTAATGACATGCTTTTGCACTGGGGGGACACATATTAATATTAGCTAACCGTAGAAGCTGTAAACAGGACTATGGGGTTATATATACTTGTGTGTAAAGACTCAACAATGTCTACAAATGTGACACAACTTTGAACCCCTATAATGGAAGTGTTTTAAGAATCTTATTTGAATCAGCAAATTCTAGTTTTTAAAAAAGTAATAAGTTACAAGAGGGCCATATCTGCTCCTTGCTTTACTTGAACCTTTCCAACAGCCATCCTATATACTCACTACAGCCAAGGTATTTTGGTATTTGTTCTCTAGAATAGTTGTTAAAAAACAGAACAGTACCTTAAGAATTGCTGAAAGAATGACAGATAACAATTTCAATAAGCTAAAACAACATTTAGAATATGAATGCATAGATACAATGATGGATACACATAATTGCATTCATTTGTGGAATCTTTTTTTTTTTTTTTTTCTTGAGACAGGGTTTCTCTGTGGTTTTAGAGGCTGTCCTGGAACTCACTTTGTAGACCAGGCTGGCCTCGAACTCACAGAGATCCGCCTGCCTCTGCCTCCTGAGTGCTGGGATTAAAGGCGTGCGCCACCAACGCCCGGCCATTTGTGGAATCTTAAAATGAGCGGTTCTCCAAAATAACAGACTATGGATATCATCCATGGAGGGGCTCACCCTCCCTGGGGAACAAAGTGGGTAGGGGGCTGAGGGTTGGTGGGAGGGCGAGGGAGGAGGGGAGAGGGAGTTGGGACTGACAAGTGAAACAACCTTGTTTCTGATTTAAATAAAAAAATAAACAAAACAAAAAAACCCTTAGTTAAAAAAAAAAAAAAAACCAAAGAGCTGCTCTCAGAGAAGTAGATAGCAGTTACCAAAAGCTGGGGAGAGCTGAGGCAACAATGTCTCACTATAGGTGTACTCTGCATAAAGTTTAAATTATATTAATGATATCTATTTGCTTATCATGCCTTTATGGTAAAACCTTCTCTTGAGCCCAAATACAATATGCATGTTGATGCCAAAGGAGAGTGTTAAGGCACCGGTTCTCTCCTTCTATTATGTGGGTTGTGGGGGTTGAACTCAGGCTATCAGGCTTGGCAGCAGGTACCTTTGCCTGCTGAGCATCTTGTTGGCTCTTTTATGCTTTTATGTATGTATGTTTTTGAAAATCCACTAAAGAATTATTCCATGAAAGTAGAAAGAGCATATAAATGTCCCTATAGGTATTCAAATGACCTGAATATATACTGTTAAAAATTCCAAGTACTACATTATGTAATTATCAAGAAAGATATAGGAAATATAAAGATGTATTCAATTGCACGAACAGTATCAAAATTGCATCTTTTGGGATCGGAGAGATGGCTCACTGGTTAACAGTGCTTGCTGCTCAAGTATGAGGACCTGAAGAGTTCAGATTCTAGTCTCCATGTTAGCTAGGTGGACTTCGCCATTCACACCTGTAACACAGTACTGTGATGGGTAGAAAGGAACAGGACTGCTGCTTGCTAACCCTCTAGCCTGACACCAGATTCAGTGACAGATGCTGTCTCAATAAAATAAAGCAGAGAATAAATTGATCTTCTCTGGCATTAGCATGTGCATCCCACCAAAGACACAGCACACATACACATAAATCACACACGGACATGCACACAGAGTTGGATGCTTTATGAGGTTAAATGGTACCTGGTCAAAAAGTTGTTTGCCAGTTGTATTGGGCTGAATGGCAAATTCTAGCTCAGCATCCATTGTAGTTACTCGTACGTTGATCTGCAAAAAAACAAAAACACACACACACACACAAAGAGAGTGATTAGGAAAGAATACAATTATAAAGCAGTAAGAATGAAAACATTCTTTGAGTTACATATAGTATTTATGTGGATTTAGAATGCTGGGGATTGAATCCAGGGCTTTGTGCATGACACACAAATCTCTACCACTAAGCTACATTCCTAGCCCTTGGCTTTTTGAGATAAAGCCTTGCTATGTAACTTAAGCTTAGCCTAAATGCAAATGCTCCTGCCCCATCAGCATCCTCACTGATGGAATTATAGGCATATATGTGTACAGTTAAAAAAATCTGGAGTAGAGAGTATTGGGAAATGAAATGGGTCCTCATGCATGATATTGGGCAAGCCCTGTGACCTAAACTCAGGTCATCTGCAAGAGCGGTATAGGTTCTTAACTACTGAGCCATCTGTCTAGCCCCAAGGATATTTAAAGTGCTAACAGCACATAAAACTAATCTTCAACTAATATACAAATTTGAATTGATAAGTAACAGATAAATATTAATTATAACAAAAATGATACTTTATAGTTATAAAGTTTCACATTTCTGCTAAAAATAGACGGCAGAGTTACAGGTATTCCTTTCTTATTTTATAGCTTGAAAAGAAAGAATTTCAACCCAACTCTCCGTGTTGCTCGTTTTTCATTTCTTTAGCCATCTTTACCCATTCTACCCAAGAAGAATGCTGGGAATCAAATGATTAGAACTGAATTAAATGATACATCTGGAGGAAAGTGAAATCTTTTTTTTTTTTTTTTGTGGTTTTACGAGACAGGGTTTCTCTGTATTGTTTTGGAGGCTGTTGGTCCAGCCCAGCCTCGAACTCACAGAGATCCGCCTGCCCCTGCCTCCCGAGTGCTGGGATTAAAGGCGTGCGCCACCACTGCCTGGCTGAAAAGTGAAATCTTAAGAATGCTTTATAATTAAGTCTTCAACCATGTATATTTCCCTATACAGTTAGTGTTTTGTGTTTTGGCTTTTCGACAGGGGTGTGTGTGTGTGTCCCACATGTATACACAGAGTTTTACTTTATGATTTTTTTTTAAATAGGGTTTCTCTGTGTAGCTTTGTAGATCAGGCTGGCCTGGAGCTCACAGAGATCAGCCTGTCTCTGCCTCCTGAGTGCTGGGATTAAAGGCGTGCACCACCAGTGCCCGGCACTTTTCTGATGTTTACACCTTATTTTTAACTTCTTTTACACCAAAGCCATTTCACAGTTATATCTATACCAGAAAATTCTAATAACCAACAATTTTCTTTAAAAATATAATTGGGCCAGTCATGGTGCCATGTACCCATATATTTTTTAAGTTTGATTTGTTTCTGTTTTTTTTAAATTATGTGTATGTGTGTGCAGGGATTTGTGCACATGAATGCTGCTTGGTTCCTATATAAGCCAGAGATATCAAAATCCTCTTGGAGCCACAGTTGGAGAAGGCTATGAGCCTCCGGACATAGGTGTTGAAATAGAACACTGGCCCTCTGCAATAACAAAATGTTCTAATCACTCTGAGCCATCTCTCCACCCCGCCTACATTATCTTATTTCCAAGACTCAGGTCATTGAAGGAGGAGGATTATGAACTCAAGGCTACCTTGGGCCATACACAGACACACTGATAAGTCAAAAGAAACACTGAAGAAAATGCCGCTTTATTACCCTAAAACAAAAGGAGTAGATCTTAGTTGAGAATCACAAACTTCTAAGAGAAAATGATGTAGGTATGCAAATCTAGGCTATCATTCAAGTTCTAATTAGGAGAAAGTTAAGAGGCATGGGTTCTGCATACTTCTCAGCTATCTTCTGCTAACAAGTTACATTTATTGAGCACTAAATTCTTATAACTCTTGTCTCTTTTTCTTTGAGTAAATTATATTATATCCCTACTTTATACAAAGGAAGTCAGGAGCAAAATGGATTTAAAAAGTCACCCAGATTAACTATGCAAATCAGGATAGAGCTAGACAGGTTGGTCCCAAATTTCATTAGTTTTAACCCTAATTGTAATGTCACCCATAATTATTCTTCACAACCAACCAAATGCTACACAGTACTAAGAGATACAAAATACACTTACTGGTTTCGGCATTTTCCTTCTCTTGTTTGTTACCTTCTTTAGAAACTGTTCACTTCTATAAACTATTATAGCCTGTTAAAGAGAAAAAAACATACTTAATTATCTTTTTCTTTTTGGGGGAGGGTCAAGACAGGGTTTCTCTGTGGCTTTGGAGGCTGTCCTGGAACTAGCTCTAGTAGACCAGGCTGGTCTTGAACTCACAGAGACCCATCTGACTCTGCCTCCCCAGTGCTGGGATTAAAGTTGTCGTGCACCACCACCCAGCTCTTTATTATCTTTCATATTAGGTTTAGTTGTAGCTTACACGAAAAGGAAAACAGTAGAGTGCTTTAAAAGTGGCACCATGTTTCTTTACACTCCATGCTCATGTCTTCAGCTGGCATTTCACATTCCCTATAAGAGTGGTAGATGGCACTGAAAGCACCACTTGTCTCAAAAGCATAGCATAAAAGCATGCTAACCTATTGAAACAGCAAGAAAACAAGCAAGATTTCTAAGAACCCAAAGACTGACTCTCCCATACAAGTTCATCCAGGCACCTGCCTTATGTGGAAAGGGACAGCAAAAATGAAGATGGGTAGACTCAAATGCTAAGGAAAACTCAACAACACTTTCCAGCCTTTCTTCTGTATTGCCAGATATAAAAAAAAATGGTGATCAAAGTTGTATTCCTTAAAAATTAGTTTTATTTTTGAAAGTCTAAAACCTGAGAAATATACACAATACCAGTGAGTGCTGATGTGTAATTTCTTTCACTGAGGCAGCACATCTTAATAAGAAAGGGCCACCCTGTGGTCTTGGAAATAAACATTCTTACTAAGAAACATCAACAATGTTTGCCTTTCTGAGAAAGCTAACAACCCTTTATCATTATCAGCTGTCTAGGAAGGGATCCCAACTCCAAACCTTTCTTTGACTAATGCTGTATCATTGCAGATAAACTTATGTAAACTATCACTGCCAAGATATTTGTAGGCCCAGATAAATTAACATACATTCAAATAAGGTAATTTTCCTAAATTTTATCCAAACACATGCCAATAAATGTCTATATACAGAAACTTCCTCTGGAGCTTTGTGGATTTCTTTTTGTTTTTTGTTTTTTATCTGAATCACTGTGCAATGGCATTCAGGTGGACGCATAAAATAACCCATTCCTTAACTTTTTGTAGCCTACTCCCTACCCCCACCCACATCACCCACCACACACACACACACACACACACACACACACACACACACACACACACTTACAGTCTGACAGGCCAGATTTTCTATATCACTTTCCATGCTAGGTGCCTTTCCCTTAGTTCCAATATTATCATAAATAAATAGGCCTTGGTTTTTAAAAGCTTCCATGCATGGTGGTATACACCTGTCATCCCAGCACTGGGATCCCAAGCAGGAGGATAGTGTTCTAGGCCAAAGTGGAATACATGTAAGTTTGAAACCAACCTCGGTTATATAATATGTAACAAATGAAAACTACTGGCTTGCTTTCACTGCTCAGGATCCTAAAATCTATCTCTAGACCTTTTTAGCTACCTTAAAAGGTTATCTCAACTGTAAAATGGTGCAAATACTTAAATCCCTAAACCAGGGCCAAATCTGATTTTATCAAGCTTGAGTCAATTGTATATTTCCAGAAACAGTGCTTGCTAATGTCTTTATTAGATGTAAAATTATGACCCTCTTGAAATTCTTAATACTATTAAGATAGTATTAAGTACTGGGATGGCTTTGATTTTTAGCTGTACTTTCTCATTCATTACCAAGCTCTAAATGCTCAGTTTCAAACCATGTTTTTCAAGACAGGGTTTCTCTGCATTGTTTTGGAGCCTGTCCTGTAGGCCAGGCTGACATTGAACTCACACAGATCCTCCTACCTCTGCTTCCCCAGTGCTGGGATTAAAGGCGTGCACCACCAACACCATGATTTCTAATCATTATTTTAAAATGTTTTATGTTATTGCTTTTCCATTTTTAATTTTCAAATGCTAGAGTTTTAGGTCTATAGGCAAAATGATATTTTTTATGTTGTCTCTGCATTTGCTTCAACGTTCGAACTCTTTAGTGTAGGGTCAGTGACTTGTTCCAGATATAAACAAAAAATACTATATGGTATGCATTGGGTAATATGCTAGATCAAGCTAAGACAAGTTTTTAATTTTTAAATCTCTCATTCTACTCATTTTAGTCTACTTAACAAATTTGACAGGAATACATTAAACTTTCCCAACTGACTTCTGATAAAATGTCAGTTTTTCACTTGTATAAATTTTTAGGTTGGTAACCAGATAAGCAGTTCTGGAACTGTTAAATCTTTCCAGTGAAGGGGTCTCTCCTCATATAGCAACTGTACAGACACGTGGCTGTGCCTACTCAGCAATTTGAAGTTACTACTATTCTCTTAATTCTGGCATTTGTTAAGCTCTACTGAGTAGCCAGCTGTCAATCTAACTCATTCCTTTGTATTAATCTGATTTTTTGTTCTACTTTAACAATTTTTACTTTTCTTTAGTGTCTGATTGCCTGCAAATTACCACAGATCTGGCAAGCTTCCTACTTCCAAAGATTCAGCTTTTCTTGGATTGCAGGACTCTATGAGCCACTGCCTCTTCTTCATCCATATTTTACCCAGTAGTTCTTTTCAGACTCTCTGACATTTTCCTATCTAATCTTTGACTGTGTTTTCAACTTTTCCATCCTTTAGCTGAGTGTTTACTCCTCTAGCCAGCATGTCTTCTACATTTAGATGTCTGTGTTCCAAGGCAAGGTCTGGCACACAATAAGCAGCTCTGGCTGGCCTAGGACTCACAAACTTGAGGCAATCCTCCCACCTCAGCCTCCAGAGTGCTAGAATTACAGGTATGAGCCAATAGGCCCAGCTTCTCCAGTTTTGTTTAAGATATATTTATGTGTATGTGTGTTTGTGTGGATGTATGCTTCCTGAGTGTAGGTGCTCAGAGACACCAGAAGAGGACAGCGGATCCTTGGCACTGGAGTTATGGACAGCTGTGAGGTATGTGATGTGTATTCTGGGAACCTAACTCCAGTCCACCAAGAGATCTAGAAATGTTTTTAATCACTGAGCCATCTCTCCAGACCAATTCTCAGTTATTTTTAATCTATTTTTAACCTGTCCATGGCTTAAAATTTTAGGGTTTCTTTTTATTTTTGGAAATAGCTTTAAGGATTTTTAAATTTTTATTTTGATGTGTATGTGCTGGTGCCTGCTGAAGCCAGAAGGGGGTGTCAAATGTCCTGGAGCTGGAGTTAGAGTGGCTGTGTGTGGCCCAATTTAAGTGCTAGGAACTAATAAGCTTGGGTCCTTTGGAAGAACAGCAAATGCTCTTAACCACTAAGCCATCCATCACATCCCTATAAAGTCTTTTTTGACTGAAAAAAAAGTTTTTAATACTTTCATGACACAATATTTAAAATACTTTTATTCTTTTTAAGAAACCATTTTTATATGTAGTGTATGTATATGTAGTGTATGTATAGATGTTTTGCTGCATACATGTCTGTGTACTGTGTCAGATCTCCTGGAATTGGAGTTACAGACAATTGTGAGCTGCCATGTGGGTGCTAGGAATTGAACCTGGGTCCTCTGGCAGAGCCGTCAGTGTTCTTAACCGCTGAGCCATCTCTCCAGCCCCTCCTTTTATTCTTCTATGCCTTTAAAACTCAATTTTCACCTCATAGAGGCTTGTTTTTCATAGTCATTTTAGAGCGCTCACATTCCTAATGAACTCTCCAATGAAGGAACTTTGCCAGTCCTGCACTGCATATCACTGTGAAGGTATTTTTTAGGTTTATTCCTTCCTACCGGAGTACTCAGGATATTTCTTTGTGGCCACTAATTTTCAGTCTTTTCTTGAGTTAGTGTTCTTTTACTATAACACACCAGTCCCTATCACACTGCTCTCTGGAGCTGGGCAGAGGGAGACTCAAATGAGTTTCTTTATCACCTATCACACTATTTTCTGAACTATATGAGTGGTGTGCCTCCTCCAGTGCAATCTCATCAGTAAGGAAGAATTAAAACAAACAAACAAAAACCTGTAACTATCCAACAGATTCTACATACAAAGTTACAGCATTCATATTTCAGAAAAGTTCTCTCTCTCTCTCTCTTTTTTTTTTTTTTTTTTTGGTTTTACAAGACAGGGTTTCTCAGTATTGTTTTGGAGGCTGTTGGACCAGCCCGGCCTCGAACTCACAGAGATCCACCTGCCTCTGCCTCCCGAGTGCTGGGATTAAAGGCGTGCGCCACCACCGCCCGGCCATCTTTCTTATTTTGAGACACTAGATATTATACAACACTAGCTGCTTTTTCAAAACTAAAGGCAACACCTTAAGTATCTTTAAATAAAACACCTCATGTGGGGGGCTGGAGAGGTGGCTCAGAGGTTAAGAGCACTGACTGCTCTTCCAGGGGTCCTGAGTTCAATTCCCAGCAACCACATGGTGGCTCACAACCATCTACAATTCAATCTGGTGTCCTCTTCTGGCATGTAGGCAGAACACTGTATATGTATATGTAATAAATAAATAAATCTTTAAAAAAAAAAACAAAAAACCTCATGTGGTCAATAAGGATACCTGGCAAGTCTCTCTAGTACCATAAAAACCATTCAGCTTCTAATTTTCTGATACTCAATCTCTTTTGAGAAATGAGGATGGTACCAGTCTCACAAATGGTCCTCAGATGTTTGTTGCTTTTGATGAGCTGGGCTTACATGTAATACTCACTTTTGCTGTTGGTTATTTTTAGGGAAAATATTTCTTCTCATTTTAATGTTATAAAATGGCCAAGCCAATAAGAAACAGTAGAGAACAAACACAAACATAGCAAACGTCACACTTAATAATGACTATAATTACCACGCTGTGTGTTCCTGAAATGTAAGTACTAAGCGTTGCAGTACATACCCTTCTACTGAAAACCAAACTAGGTTTGTATAGTTTCTCTAAATCTAGAACCTAAAAAAATTTAAGTATCAGAGTCCTCAGGACATCTAACAAAGTTTAATCCATCCCCCCATACAATGAGTATCCAACTTTTAACACTTCAGCATGGCATTGTCATCTACAGACGTGTTGGAATGCACAAAGCTATCCTCCAAGGCATATTAGCCCACAGACCACAGGGACAACACACTTGGAAAGACTATTGTCAATTAACCATAGAGAAGATACTGTATGTCTTCATTGTCCCTTTTATGAAAGGAGATTTTTAAGGACAAGTATATCTACTCTGGATATCTTATTCAAAGACTATTTAAGAAACAGGAAGATTTGAAATTTTTAAAATATAGAAAGCAAGAGATATCCGGAATTGACATCATAGAAGTGTCTTAGAACTTTACACACTATTATTATTAATTCCAGCACACTTAACATACTCTTGAGACATTCAATATGGCACATGTGTTGTTCTTTACACTGCCAGTTCCTCATTATCTTGTCCATCTTTCAGACCCCATGCCAACATATTTACCATATTGTAACAACTGCTTGGATATATGACTGACATCTTAAAACAAAGTTTAGCTAACTTTTTCTGTAAAGGGTCAGGTAAATAAACATATTAAGTTTCATAAGTCATACAGTCTATGTTGCAATTGTTCTAATTGTTCTTTGTAATTAAGTGAATGAAATACAGTGTATTCAAATAAAACTTTACTTGCAAAAACTGGCAGGAGGCTTGATTTAGTTGTGTGTAATAATTCCAGAAAGCATTTTAACAGCAATTGATTTTTTTCATTTTATAATTTAAGTTTTGAACAAAATACATTAAATTGAATATTCATATTAAATTAAATATATTAATGTATGACAGGTCACTTTGGATTTGTCTTCATTTGGGGACAAGAAAGAATTCAATACATTTGGTATATGACTAAGGAAAATAATGGTAACAGAATTAAAGCAATTTCATTAACAGTGCCAATATTGTAAGATATGGCATATGCCTCTCTCCTGGCTAAGGAGCAGTGCTGGCTAAGGAGCAGTGGATGACATCTTGGGAGAGGCTTCTGGAAAAGAACCCTCCCTTATTCCCTTAGATATTTTGTATCTAGAGAAGCACTCAACTCATCCCTGAAGCTTAGTGTAAGCTAGGCAAAAGGGCCCTGGTCAGAGTTGAGAATTTTCTATTACTCAGTTAGTCCATCTTAAATGATGGAAAGGCTCAAAACTTTACAAATTCACTTGCAGCAAGTCTTAGTTAATTTCTGTAAATGAAAGGAAACACTTAAGGTCCTGAAAGCCATTAAGAATTAAAGTTTAGAAAAAAACTCTATTAATTACTGATAGCGAGGTAACTAACTATATAAATTGTACTATCTCAGAGAAAATGTGGTACTCCTTTCTTTGATACTGTATCTAAAACCATGCCCAATCCCCCAATCCCCACCCAGTCAATGGGAATTAAATCCTATTAGGTGTACTACCAGTGAAATATATGTGCAGCCCTTTTACTCTTTTTTATTTTGAGATTGGGGGGGGTGTCTCACTAAGTTTTCCAGCATGGCCTTGAACCTGCTAGGATCACAGGTTTGTACTAGGCCCAGTTTGAAACACTTTTTCAATAGAGCAGAGCTTTTTGTTCTTGCTTTTCTTTTAAGTAAGAGATGAGCAAATTCTCTTTGCAAAAAGGTAAATAGTAACTATTTTAGGTTTAATTAACCATACAGTCAGCCATCGTGGCTCAAAAGTAGCCACACACAATGTGTACTAGAGTCCACTATTCAAGACTGAGAAGAAATTGATCACACAGACTAGAAATTGATTACATAGACTATTCCTCTCTAAACAGTTTCCAGGTAAAGATACATATTATATAGATATGTTGCTATTCCAAATCACACACCTGTTTCAAAAGACATTTATGTATGTGTACATGTTTTTGTGTGTGCACCAACTTTTACTGTGAATTTATGCTATACTTCAGGAAGAAAAAAAGGTAAACCTCACCAGTAATAATTAACCAAGAAAATTTGCACATGTGCTTACGCAAACACTTCTGAGAATTAGTATAGCAAATTCCACTAATTTCATTCAAATGATGAAAATTTAGAAAACACAATTACTTGACATTTATCATAAGTAATAAACACGATGTCAGGGTTTGTTACAGTTAACAGACTTGAGACCCACAGATAAGGAGCAAGACATGCTCATCCTTACAGAAGCACTACCACTTTCTATACACAAGGAAATTAACGTGAAAAATGAGGCCGGGGGTAGGATTGCTAAGTTTATGGGGTGAGAAGACAGTTTTTTACTCGGTGGCTTAACGTCTTTCTGCGTGTTATACCTTTACTATGTAATGTATCAGCTTCATAGTTTTTAAAAATGACGTAAGATACACATCCAATATATACACTAAGCATACAGAAATAATGAATAGGTCAGATGGGATAGTTTTATCACACTGGATAACTCTCCGAGGTCAGACTAGTTACCTCTATCTCCAATGCTATGAGCTACTTAAGTCAGGCTTTCCCGGAACACCCTCTGGTGACACCTATGGTCAAGAAACTTAAAATAGCCTTGCAGAGTAGCAACTTAATCCAGCTACATATCCAGGATGTCAGGGGGCCCAAGTCATCCAAGCGTAACTTCCTTGCTTCCCAGACTGCAGCAGTAAGAGGCACAAAAACATCCAAGAAAAGAGTGGCTTTCGTCTGTCTGTCTCCCAGATCCCACCAACAACAGGAAACTGTTGCCTATGCCCTAGAGATATGCTCCACCAACACTGCTCAGTCCTCACTACCTCAACGAGGCACTATTTCAAGGCTTTGGTCTTCAGGGAAAAAGTTAAAGATTTGCCTCTCAATTTTGAAATGGCTCATGGTAAAATGCATTACATTTAAAAATGAATGAAAATCCAGGACTCTCATCATTACTCAACATTTTAGAATCTACTATATTAGATTGTACATAATTTTTATAATAAAAGGTTGAGAAATAAAAACTAAAATAAATAAGTCTTCCAACCACTGGCCAGAGGCTGAAAACTGGTTAATAAAAATCCGATTCCGCTCTTGGGAATGGTGAAGCAATAAACAAAAAACCAGCTCTTGCTCCCCTCTCTCATCCCCGTGACGACTAAGAGAGGAAGAAAGAGTAAAACCTGCAGTTTCTGACCATCACATCAGAGCAGCAGCGTCGTTTCCATGTGAGGAATCAGTGCCCACAAAATTAAGGTTCCAAGTGTTCTTCTCACAGTAATGTCTAGTAAATCTATTCTACAAATGTCTCCGAGCTCCTCCTACATTCTCTCTTGTGTGAAGGGACAGGAATGAACAAAACAATATGCATGACCCAGAGGCAAGGGTTTAACATTTCTTAACGTCACAATCAAACTTCTTCTCATGGAAACAAAGCTAAAGACTCCTAGTGACTATTCGTTCCAAATATTAACTGCTTATTAAATCCCAAACTACAGTTTCCAGAGGGGTTTAAGCAAAGAAGTCAGTGTAATTCTTTTCACAGCATACTGACAACTTAATATTGTTATGAAAGATAAACCGCACATTGGTGCAAACAACGAAATTCTAAAGATTAAAAAAACGCAACCCTAAACATTAGCCTCTCCAGATCCAGTGATGATGTTTTGGCAAGCGGATTAAACCATTATTTATGCAGCAAAATGAACAGGGCACTTGTTTATTCTGTGCTCCGACATAGTCTTGTAAGTATTCTATGAAAAAAAAAAAAAGATGCTCGGTCAACAATAGATTGCAGTGTCCAAGTACCTTCATCACATAAACCCTTATTATCTTGGGCTTTTACATTTACATCATGCAAATCTTGGTGCCTCCATAGAGCCAAGGGGCTTAGCACTCACACCTCTCCTACAAAACCTCAACTGTATTTTAATATTTTTTTATGAATTTGACCTCTTAGAACACATTTCCAACGAATAACCCACTCTTTTAGGGCGAGGAGAAAAAGCACCCAGAATCCTGACAACGTTTAAAGAAACATCTGTGTAGGAACCGGCGTGCTATTTCCACTGAAATAACGCACTGCCCCCTTTCAAACTTAGCTCGAAGATAGAGTTTAGGAGCACGCAAAGGTAGGGGTGGCAACTTTGCTGGTAGGGTCCGCTGACACTACACCAAGCAGTGGCTCCGCGACCCGGGCCAAGGCCAGGGGCCGGGAGGACGGCAGCAGCAGGTAAGGGCGGCCGGGAGTCCGGGCCTGGCCTCGCGGGCTCGTGCGGCGGGAGCGGCCGGCGCCCCAAGCCCGGCAACGCGACGACCCTCCCGCTGCCGAGGCGTCCGCACGCTCTCCAGTAATCCAACACCCCGACTTTCAAACAGGAGGCCGGGGGGAGAAGTTCCAACCGTGCCTCCCCTCCCAGGGTTGCGAGCGAGCATTCGACCTACGCTCGCCACGGCCCTCGGGGACGCGCCGGGCCGAACGTGGGGCCCAATCCACGACGGCGGGAATCCGCACCGCCCGACGCCCGAGGCGGCCAGGCCGACGGCGGACGGCTCAGAGCGGGCAGGAGTCTCCGGGTAAGCGGCCTGGCTCGGCAGTTAACGACCGCGGCGGCGCCTCTCGGGCGGCCAGGCGCGAGCCCGTCTCTGAGGCGCGCCAGGCCCGGGCCGAGGCGCCACAGCCCAGCAACTTCTGGCCGCCACCTCAGCGCCTCGGCGGGGAGAGCGGGCAAGCGAGCCGGGGGGTGGGGGGTGGGGAGGGGAGCAGAGAGCGCGCCGAGCAGGGCTTACCCCGAAAATGAGCGGCTCCTTCCCTGCCCGCCGCCGGCTGGCTGAGGCGCGGCTCGGCGGAGGCGTCGCGGCTGGCAGCGAGCGAACGGAGAGGCGGCGGTGCGAGTCCTGAGCCGCCTGAGAGGAGACGCGCCGCCGCCGCAGACAGCTCGGCAATATGGCCGCCCGGCGCCTCCTCGGGGGGGAAGGCGGGGCCGCCCCGCGCCCCCTCCTCCCGCGGCCCGCCAGTGGCGGGCGAAGCCGGGGCCCGAGCGCCAACGCCGCGGCCGCAGCGAGGGCGTCCCTCCCGGCCCCCCCGCCGGGGGGGCTCGGCGCCACGGGCGGAGACGAACGGGCCTCAGCCGGGGGACGCGCTGCGGGGCCTTGGCCAAGGCTTCCCGAGGGACGAGGACGCTAGGGGCCAGCAGGAGCCCGAGTCCGAAACCCCGCAGTGAACGAAGCGGAGCCGCGCGCCCGCCGCCTGCCCCCGCCCCGCGAGTGGAAACTTGAAACTCCCGCTGGTGCCAGGGAACTCGCGGAGGGCGTTTCCAGCGCCCCCGAGGTGGAGCTGTTCCCAGGAGGAGGGGGGCACCCGGGGAGCCGCTGCAGGGTGTAGTTGGGTGCTAGGCATCAGCATCCCGGGCTAAAAGAGGGGAATAGGCCCAGCATTCGCAACAAAAAGGACAATGTTGTGCGGATTTTAACCAAACAGAAAAACTGGCTGCTTTCAATCTTGCAGTGTTTTTAGTTCCTTTCAAAAAGCCAGTGGGTATGACTCTATAATGTGATCGGGTTTTTTGTTTGTTTGTTTAGTTGGTTGGTTGGTTGGTTTTTGGTTTTTAAGCAAGGATACTCCTTGGCAGATAGGAGTAGGTTAAGAAAAAGTTGGAAGTAGGGCCCAAAGAGCAGCCAAACCTAAATTATTCTAGACTTGGAAAAAGTTAACCCTCTGACCAGAGTCTCACTAGACTAGAAAGAGTGGCTAGCTTCTTCTGGTGGAGTTATGTCCATGCTGCCAGCCCTGGGTATTTTCTGCTGAGATTTAGAGTAACACTTGGTGTGACTGTAAGGACAGCAAGGATACAACCCCTTATCAGCCTGCCGCATTTCATTTCAGATGCTTTACTTAATATATATTTGTAAACGAACTTTCATTACAAGTAAAATTTAGTGTAGTTAACTTTTATAGAACAAATAATTCAACTTCCTGACCTTAGGCTTGCCTTTGCTGAGACAGTAGCTTTCCCAGGAACTCTGCACAACACTTTCACCAAGCTTCCTCTTCAGCGACTTACCACCATTGCCATTAGAGACCTCACTAAACACTTAAGAAGCCTCCAGAGAGTCCAGGTTAATCTCAGAAGTCTTTAGATTGCAGATTCCTCAAGGATGGGAAGCAGGTGCGTGCTTTGTAACCAAACAGGTTTATGTGGTTCTTGGAGACCACCAAAGGAATACTTGTTGACCCTAGTCCCACGAATTCAACAACAACAACAATAAAAAAGAAACAGTAAAAATGTTGTGCAAATCTCTAAATAGTACACACATCAAACTGAAGTCTGCGGTGCCCTTTGCAACGGAAAGCGGAGCGATCGGTCTTGGTCATATGCTCGGAGCAGTGTGAAGTGCTTTCACATGACTGCCTTGTTTAATGATTACAGCAACCCCGGGCTCAGGGTGAAAGCTCCCATTGGCATTAAAATAAGGTAATGAATAAAGTGGAGCCTCAAAAGAGTTATTTGTCAATGTAACCTTGCTGGGAAATGGCAGAGCCATGACTTAAACCCAAATGCAAAGCCTGTTTGACTCAAAAGCCCTGAACATATTCTATGCTTTGCCATAGCAAACCCAAGACAAGTTGTATCATTTCAGTTGGCTATCGTATTGGTAAATATTTAAGTAAAAGATAGTATTCAAGCTGGTAAGATTTAAAAGGGGCACTCTCAAATGTAAACTGAAACGAATTCCAGCAAGCAATTTGTTGGAGTGATTTGATCTTTAAGAGGGTCCATCACTCTGTGAACAAATAATCCCATATTTGGGGTTCTTTCTGAAGAAAATAATCTGAAATAGAGCAAAAACTCCATCACAATATTATCTTAAGGATGCATATATTAAACATAGAAACACACCATTATTTTATTTTGTTCTTCACATCAAATACTAACACTTTGAAATATAAACTATTCAATCTAAATATCCCAAAACTTGAATTTTGTGATGTAGGTATGTGTGTGTTGCCAGTGACTACGCTGACTCCACCCTTTTCTCCCAGCATTCTCCGTGTCAGGCCGTCTTGCCCAACCAATCTCTTTCTGCCCTGCTATTGGCCAATCAGCTTTGTTATTAACAGTAAGTGAGCATAATCCACAGCAAGTGTCAGAGAGGTGAAAAAAAATACATATTTCCTAAAACACTCTTGTTGCCCTGGAAAGATATAGGATATTAATAGTTGCCAAGATATATATTTTAAATAGCATATAAGATGTTTTAAGATCATAGTTGGGTATAGTGACTAACACCTTTAATCCTACCACTTGGGAGATAGAGGCAAGCAGATATCTGTGAATTCAAGGCCAGCCTGGTCTGCAGAGTGAGTTCCAGGACAACCAGAGCTACATAGTGACACCTTGTCTCAAACAAAACAATAACAACAGAAAACCCAATTAAATGTATTACCAAAGTCTCTACACTACCTTCTTAGTGGACTTCACCACACTATGTTGGTTAATTCTAATTTCTGGAATTCCAATGCTGGTTGTAAAGCATTGGTTTCACCAGCACACATAAAAGTACTGCCTGAAATGAAGAAAATTAATTTTTACAAAGATACTTCATCTAGTTTTGTTTTTTGGAAACTAAGCTACAGGCCCTTGCTGGTTTATAAGGCTGGCCCTCTGTTTAGGTAATGAAGAGAGCAAACAGTGCTGCATGTCGTGACTATCATGAAGGTGCACACACAGTGGTCAGAGAGACAAAGAAGGGAGCACTAAAGAAGGAGGCAAGAAGCCGGGTTTTGATGGCACATGCCTTTAATCCCAGCACTCGGGAGGCAGAGGCAGGTGGATCTCTGTGAGTTCGAGGCCAGCCTGGTCTACAGAGCGAGTTCCAGGACAGCCTCCAAAGCCACAGAGAAACCCTGTCTCAAAAAAAAAAAAAAAAAAAAAAAAAAAAAAAAAGGAGGCAAGAGGGGTGTACAAGTTTCCTCGGAGAAGCAGGAAAGGCGCTCTGGGTGCTGAGTAGCAATGTGTGGTTGATACCTAGGGGCTTCAGAAAGATAAGTTGGGCAACACCGGATTTTTGGTTCGTAAGACTTAGGCACGAAAGAGAAGAATGCCAGGTGGGATTAATCAACCAATATCTGATTGGATTTAAGGCCCATCCCATGGGATGGAACCCATCCCCAACACTGCTTGGGTGGCCAAGAACCTGACACTAGGGAAAACCAAATACTGCTACCCTGCTAAGGGAGCAAACAAATAAAATGACTGCTAGTGACATGCTGCCTGCCGCACTCATAGATCAGTGACTGACTCAAGCCATCATAAAAGTGACTTACTCAAGCCATCTCTTGCGGTAGATGGAAACAAATACAGAGTTCCACAGTTGAACAATGTGCAGAGAGTGAAAGACCTTGGAACACTCATTTCTAAATGGGATGTCTCCATCAAATCCCTCCCTTCAGGACTCAGGGAACCCTGTGGAAGAGGAGATTGTAAGAGCCAGAGAGGATGGAGAACATGAAGGAAACAAGGCCTTCTAGACATAGCAGGATGGACACACAGAGACTGTGGCGGTATGCACAGGGCCTGAACAGATGTGCACCGGATAGGGTCCAGCACTGAGAGAAGTGACACAACCCCCCATCCTTAAGCCAGAGGCTGTCTCCAACCGATAAACGCTCAAATGAAAAATTGGTTCTCTCCACCAATTCTCCCTGAGAATACAAACCACTCTTAAGGGCAGGCCCCATGCCCAGAGTATATGGCCAACACAAGCAGGCTCAATGGCATCTTCAGAGATTCTTTGTCTCTTGCTTCTAATAAAAAACAAAACAAAACAACAACCCACCTTACAGATCCTTTTTGTATATACTATGGTTTTCAGTTTTGTGTTTTTATGTAATTCCTGGGTGTGAGTGAGTGAATGAGTGAGTGTGTGTGTGTGTGTGTGTGTATTTTATTTTAATATTATTTTTAGATGCCTGTTTTTTTTTTAATGAGAGACAGAAAGAGTGTCTATTATTGGGAGGGGATTTGGAGAGAATCTCAGAGGACTTGGGGAAGGGAAATAGTAATCAGATTATATTGTATAAAAATCTATTTTCAGTAAAATTGAAATAGAGGGAAAAAAGAGGAATAATGTGATCTACTTCATATTTTAGTAAGACAATAGACAACAATGCAGATTGCATGGTTCAGTTACAGTGGACAATGAATTTACAAGGGATACCTTAGACAGTTTGGCTAAAACACTCCCCATGGGAGGGCAAGAGCTCCTGAGTTTGGGAGGTGGTAGGATCCAGAAAGGACTTAGAATTTGTTAAAAGAGTTGGGAACAGCCTGAAGATAAAGACAAGATGCAGAACTGCTTTCAGGATTTCTGGTTTGTTTCCAGAGGGCAAATAGGAACATAAAAGAAATGCTTCTATCACTCCTTATGGAGGGGCCCATACTTACTAGTTGTAAACAGACATTTCCTGTTCCTACTGCCCAGTCCCAAATAACCAGCTCAGAGGATGAATATGAATTGTAAATGTTTGGTTGATGGCTCAGGCTTATTACTAGCTAACTCTTACACTTAAATTAACCCACATTCCTTACCATCCACCAGGCCCCCAGTTTACCCCAGGAGATCTCATCTATTTCCCCTTCCCAGGGTTATCCATGTGTCCTTCGTAGGGTCCTACTTCATACCTAGCTTCTCTGGAACTGTGGATTGTGGTCTAGTTACCCTTTACTTTACATTTAGTATTCATTTATGAATGAGTACATACTGTGTTTGTTTTTCTGGGTGTGGGTTACGTCACTCAGAATGAATTTTTTCTAGTTCCATCCATTTGCCTGCAAATTTCATGGTGTCATTGTTTTTTACAGCTGAGTAATATTCCATTATGTAAATGTACCACATTTTCTTGATTGATTCTTTAGTTGA